TGAGCTCACATTGAAATCGTGCTCGCTGATGCTGCTTCTAACAATGGGTTGGCTTTCTCCCAAGCTGTGACGGAAAGTGAAACGTCAAGTCGAACGACCGCAGACAGTGTTTACGTCCTTCTCCGACATCAGAGATTGATGGACGCGCTCCGACCCGACCCGTGGCTCTGCCGGAGAGCTGTGGGCTGTGTGGGTACAGCATTCGTCACAGGTTTTCGGGGAGGGGGAGTCCTCAGGCGACAGGGTGGTCGATTTGCTGGCAGTCCTCTTGTTTCATGTTATGATTAGTCCGTAGTCGCCTTGCAGAGAATCTGATTAAAACAGCCACCTGCTTGTAAAACATGCAACCAAACTTTGCTTGTTTCGCTATTTATCCAGCATTCCTGTCATAGGCACCTATCGTAGTTTCGGGGCCCCGATCATATCGATCTTCAATAAGGACTGTAGCTACACGCTGTGGGTACAAGGTCCATTCGCAAAACAAACACAGCGATTCGGCTGCACCGCAACGATTGACAATGCAGCCGGCCACGGCCGTCTCTGCTGTCGTTCACTTTTGATTGTATATTTTAAACAAGAGCAGTTTTTACTTTTCCTCAACAGTTTTATCATGCTTTATCAAAAATCCAAATGGTTTCTTTATCGAGTCTTAGCGAACTCGTGTTGTTGTCATCATTCATCACGTATTTGCCTGCTATTGTCGGGTATTTAAACACAGTAGGTAATTGAATTGAAATAAAGAAGTTATGCAACGGCAATACAAATAGGGTAGAGTGGGGCAAAGCGCCCACCCTAACTTTCCAGCCCCAGTATCTCTTTATCTTACAAATTTGAAAGACAACTAGGTGGCTGATCTGGTAGCTCATTACCTTGGCTTTCTTCGAATAACACATCAGAAACAAGTGGCATGCATGGTTTTTGAGATATGCCATCCGAATTGAGAGGACTACAAATCGGGCGTTTTGCCCCACCCATGGGGCATAACGCCCATATGAGTGGGGCATAACGCCCAGTCCTGAACGTTTCATTACACGCTCGGTACTCTGACAAAAGAATGCAGTATTTATCATTTCTCATTTCGTTTGACTTTAAATCGATAGATTACACCACCAAACACATCTTGAACACTGTTGTTACCACCCCACTCCTCATTCAGTCAACGGGCTGTCACCGCAGAGCGGAGATTAGTTCGTGCGAATAAATTGTTCCAGGCGATACTAACCAGTATATTGCATATTTCATAAGAATCCTGAGCATTAGAAACGTATCCCGACACTCACTTTCAGCCAAAAATGTTCGCAAATACCCGTACTGTATAACTCCCATTAGGGGTAAAACGCCCATGATGGGCGTTTTGCCCCACACCAAAGTGGGCGTATTACCCCAACAGCACATTCAAAACGAAGTCCACCAAAATTAGGCGTGTGACGATTGTGTTGCAAACCAGTAAATGCTCAAAACGTAGCTTAAATCCGCAGGTTCTGCGTAGCTAAATTTCATTGCCTACTTTAATCTCTGTCAGACAAAGTTTTGGTAGTATGAAAACATGTAATATCTAAAAATTGTCTGAAATAAACTAATCTTTATCTTACGTCCAGAACAACCCACTTGTAGAACCGAAAAAGGGGGCAAAAGTAGATTCCTGCTCGTTCTTGAAAATGGCTATCGAGAATTCTTCGAAAAGTCGAGCACTTCATAAAAAAGAGGGGTGGGCGTTTGACCCGCCCTGGGCGCTTTGCCCCACTCTACCCTATTAACGCCAAAGAAATTAATGTACTATTAGTTAATTAATTAATTAATTAAATTAATGTACTATAGAAATTAATGTAGGTACTTAGTAGTAGTTACATGTTTATGGTGTGGTTATGATGTAATAAGGTATCTTGAATTCTTTGTTGCATTGCATTTTTAGCTGGGGCGTCTCCTTACTAGGGGAAGGAGGGTGAATTGCGCCACCTTAAGGAAAAACGCTAATTGTAAGAAAACCGCTGGAGATATAAGCATGCATTGGTGACCATTTCAAAGAGGAACTCATTGGCTACGATTTAAGAGCCTCCCGATCAATTAATAATGTTTCGTTTGCTTCTGACAGCTGTTTTTCAGAAACATGTAAAAGGGCGCATTTGCCAACAACTGCTGTAAATTGCGCCAGGGGGATGGCGCAATTAGAACCCAATTGCGCCCTATACTTTAACATGGCTAAGCGAATGAGACGGAATGCATACACCCCGGCAGTCTAATGTCATTGCGGCTTACTTTAACATTCATAATGTTATTCACGCTGGTTAAATAATAAATGAAGGTGTAAATCGCGATGTTTTTTGCCCAGGTAGATAACTATACATGTGTTCGTACGCTTGTAAAAGTGCAACGAAAACGTTTACTGTAACCGACTAGATATATGTGAACGTATGCGCCTATACGGTTACATTTTCAATCGTTTCTCTCAAAATTAATAATTTTATTGTTTCGACAGCTTTATGACATCATTTTTTACTTTTTTATCATAGCTGTCACCTCTCACGCCTGAGTCCATGTTGAAAATGTCGTATTTTGTCAATTACACCACAAGTTCGTAGCCTAAATGGCAGCTGCATTATAAGTTTGACTAGAGAAATAATTTGCGGACTGACGACAACGGGTTGCTCCCCTGCCTGACATTAAACTCCTTCTTTATTGCAATCAGTTAATGATGCATTCATGCTGTCGTGATATACAATAGCTACACCACTATGCTATTTGCGCCCCCCTGGCGCAATTGCCATGGGCGCAATTAAAATTGAGGTACTTTTTAATAAAAGCGTGGAAGTTATCATACAGATGTTGAAGGAAGTTAACTGTTTTAGTGAAATATAATGAAAAAAGGGTTTTTCTTTCTAAATATCACTCTGAAAATCACACAAATATCACACATTTTTATAGCCAACCGTTCAAAATACTGCAAAAAAGCTAAGAAAACGCCGTAACATCTTTGATGGCGTAATGAGCCTTGCTGATTGGCTTCATCGGGGAGCTTGGGCCATAAAAGGAACTATCCAGTGGGGGAAATAATGTTTTCGAACACAAAATTCAAAACATGCCATTGAATCCGTGGGAATGTTGGTGGGCGCAATTGGTTAGGAGGGCGCAATACACCCACTTTCCCCTACATCGGGCTGCATTACATCAGGCTCCTAGTCCTTATCCTGTGGGCTAAGTTTGCTTCAGCATCTACCTACTGGCTTCTACTCTACCCCAATTGGCGGTAGCTCTGGACGAGCGGCGTAGCGTTTCGACCCCACTGTAGCCCGCCTTCTCCACTAGCTGCGCTCACGTCGATTTATGAGGTTCCAGATCCGGCTGATAATAAAATCTGCTACTTTCTTGTTCACGTCGCTAAGCTGATGTAGGCTTCGTTTTATGCTCGTGGGCTTTGGTAACCATACGTTTCCTACGGCGGTGTTTTGTGCTATGGTTTGTTGACTTTTCTGCTTCTTTGAAGGGCAAATGGAGTTGGACAGGACAATGGTTTATCTGGCACACTTATCGATGGTGATCTTCGTGAGTCGGTTGAATAATACGACTTTTTTCGCCGTCGTGTTTATTGGCAGACATGAAATATGTTTGTGTACTAACCCAGTATGAACACGTAACCACTTGCATGCCGACCTACTCTCCCGTTGAGGACTGGCGCCTGGTCTGGTCACTCATGGGGTCCGTACCTGCCACTGACCGAACCCCAGGGCCCCGGCCCAGGGCCCTGTTCGAGCTGACTGGCGGGCGGTCGTTAGTCCGTCCACCAGACTCCTCTGGCTGCTGGCGCGGTCGGCGGTCGTCACGAAATTCTGACCGTCCTGATTGAGTTTGTCGCACACTGGGACCGGCGGGACTTTGGCTTTGCTCCTGATCGCCGTGGTCTAGGAACGGTTCGGGCTCCGGGATCGGTCCCGTATGCTCGGTCCTGGTCCTCACTTCGTCCACAGGCCGTGTGTCGTGGTCCAGGCTTGGCTCGGGAGCCGGTTGTGGACCTACGAGTATATGCTCGGTCCTGATCCTTGGTCCCTACACGCTCGTTTGTCGTGGTCCAGGCTTGGCTCGGGCGCCGACTAGGGTTTTCTGTTCACGGTCCTGGTCATGCATCTGTCTGTAGGTCCATGTGCCGTGGTTCAGGTGCTGCGTGCAGGCTCTTTTGCCGTGACCTCAACTCTGTCGTGATGCCTTTCGTGGCCCCGGCTCGCTGCCGGAGCCGTCTGTTGCCCTCTGTGCTCTGTTTTGGTTCTGTGTCCCCTGTGCCCTGTCCCGGCTTTGGCTGTGTCTCCTGTCCTCGGCCCCGGCTCTGGCTGCCGCTCCGGTCACCGGCACAGCAGTGGGACCGGCCGGGCCGCTCTGCTGGCTCGGCGAGATGGCGCCGCTCGCCGGCCCCGCCGCGCCGGACGCGTCTCCATTTTGTCAGCTCGCTGGCTGGCCGGCCGGCCGGGCCGCTGCCGTTTGGCACCGGCCGCCGCCGCCGCGTGAGCGCCCGGCCGGTAACGATTTTCCGTGTGCAGGCGGGCGGGCAGCCTCCGGGCGGGCGGCGCGGCCGGCCCGCCGCCGCCGCCACTCGCCCTCTCCCCGCCGTTCCACCAGCCAGGTCGACACGCGAGCGGGCCGCTGCTGCGCTCCATCCGATGGCTGACGCTGTTTGCTATTGACACGGCTCTGCACAAAGCATGCCGCCGCTGCATGCCAGCCACCTGCCAGTTTTTACGCACGGCGCCACGGTCCAAAGTTACGCTGTCGGCCCTGCCGCGCCCGTCCCAGTCGGCCGTGCGCGGCCCCTCCGGCTGTCGTCTCTCCGCCGCCTCGCTCGTGTCCGCGGGTGTCTGTCCGCGCTGTCCTGACGCGCGTGTCCCCTGCTCCGATTGCCCCCCTCGCGCGACGCGCCCGGGCTCCGCCTGGTGGCCGGTCGGCCCAACTCGCCGCGGCCGCGTCCCCTCGCGGTCGGCGGCGCGGCGCCGGGCCCGCTCGCTCCCCGCAGTCGGCGTGAGACGGCGGCGAGGGTGGAGCGTGTGTCGTCCGTGGCGTCGCCCGGTGGTCGGCGACTGTATTCGTGCGTGTGAGTGGCTCCCTGACGGTGACGCCCACTCGGCAGGACGGTGAGCGGCGTAATCCCGCCCGTTCCGACCCGTTCGCGGCCTCGGCTCTCCGCGCTCGGCGCACATCGACCATCAGCCGAGCGGTTCCAGCAAAAACCGTCCGGCTGGCCGGCCGCCCGGCCGCCGCGCGCTCTCTCGGCCGCTCTCTCTCCCACACACATACAGTTGGCGCGCGGGCCGCGGCCCGCTTCGCCCGTGATCAATATGGTCGGCGCTGGAGGGTCGCCCGCCGCCGCCGACCAGTGAGTCGCTCGGCCGGCCCCCGCAGAGTGCAGGCTAGCGTCGGCCGATAGCCGGCGCCGGTATCTGTCGCTCGCTGTCCTTCGCCGGCGCAGCGCAGACCGCAGGCGGACGAACCCGTGCACAGACGCAGTGGACTGCTCGCTGGGGCAGCTCAGAGACGTGTGATCGCGGACACGCAGTTCGGAGGACGTGTGAGGGACGTGCGTGACGCGTTGGTGATCTGCAGCGGTACCCTTGACGTCCAGAGGAGCGGCCGTCTCCGGCAGACGCCAGGTTCGTACAGCGGGGAGCCTCGTTAGGGTGGTGGGGTCTGATGGCGCCGCGGACCCGTCCTGTCCCGTCCCGTCCTGTCGGTCGGTCCGAGCGGCACGCAGCGCGGCCGGCGGCGTGACGTCAGCGTGTCGTCAGCGCTCGCCGCCGCGGACGGGTCGCCGCCGTGTCGGGACGGGACGCCTCGCCACGGAGCGGCGGCGTCGGACCGAAATAGCGCCGCCGTCACGCTGCTCTATCGCCCCGGCCGGCCTCGGCCCGGCCCTGGGCGCCGCAGCGGCCGCTCCTCCGCCGCCCCGGCCCGCTGACACTGCTCCCCCGCCCTGTTCGGTGCCCTCTGTTACTCGTGTTCGCTTGTTTACCTGGTGTTGCTGTGTCGTGTGATGTGTGTATCTCCGTGGCGCTCTCTGCGCCGCCGCGGTTTACCTGCCGCCGCGGCTCCTCTGCGCGTGTCTGCGCTCGTGACCGCCGTGAAAGCGGCGCCCTGTCCTCGTTCCCGTTTCGCCGGGCGCCTCCGCCGTGTATGCGGGTCCGCTCCGTCCGGAGCGGGAGCCCCCGTCCGTAGCGCCGCGGATATCCCCGCCGTTCACCCAAGAGGCCCCGCTTCTTGGCTAGCAGCCCCCAGCCAGCGCCGCCATGAACCTGTATCACGGTCTGACTAGTCGGGAAAGCTTGCGATCGAGCCCGGACAACTGTCGGCCGATCCCGGACCTGTCTGTGAGCTCCGTGTGCGTCGCCGTTCTCCAGCCGCGGCCGCCCGCCCGGGCTGCGCCGCTGGTCGGCCCGCGCCAGCTGCGTCGCTCCTCCCCCGTCACCGCGGCCGCTTTCTAGTGCGCTGGCCGCGCTCGGCCGGCGGACGGTGGGAGCTTTCCCCCTGACGCGGCGCGGCGTGGGGCGTCCCTCCCAGCTGCAGCGGCCCCGGGCGGCGGGCGGGCGGCGCGCAGCTGTGGCCGGCCGGCTGTCGGCGCCGCGCCCGGCTCGGGCCTGGTCTGGCGCTGGCCGCTGTCACGTCCGTCGGCCGGCGCGGCGGCGCGGTGTGCCGCGCCGCTCCGTCCCCCCCGCTGGGCTGGTGTTGCGCCACGTCCCGGCCCGCCGGCCGCCGGCGCCTGCTCCCGTTCCCAGAACGCCGACCGGCACCCCGGCCGGCCCCGTTGTCGTCGCCGCCGCCGCTCCTGACCCGTCCGAGCAGGCCCAGAGAGCCCTGGCGCGGCGGACGGGCAGAGTGGCCAGTCGGCGGCTCACAGAGCCCAGCCCGCGCGCTTCCGGTGGGCCCAGGACTTTCATCAGCCTGCATAGCCCCATAAAGTCCGCTTCTATGCTCGTTAGTTCTCGTTATGCTCCAAACGGCCGTCGGCAATGCGCCTCTCTCCTCTTTTGGCCAATTCTAGTACATTTTCGGACGTTCGCCGTCGTCTGTGGAGCTCGCAGCGACACCGCCGTCGCCGTTTGTGGCTCTCAAACTGCGCACCTCCCGTCCTCGGTGCCCTCCGAGCCGCGGCCGACGCCGGTTGCGTTAGCCGCGCTCTGTCCATACGGCTGCCGCTCCCAGATCCGGCGGCGAAGTTGCGCCGTCCCGGAGCTGGGCCGTCTATTCTGGGGCGGGCGGGCGGGCGGGCGGTGGCAGAACTGTGCCGGCCATGTCCGCTGAGGTACCGCTGCGCAGCCGACAGCGCGGGCAGCGCGGACAGACGGACGGCCGAGCCGAGCCGAGCCGGGCCGCCCGCCTCTCTGTCCTCGGTAAAACGTGCCCACTCCGCGACTCTGCCCGGTTTTGTGGCGCTTTCGCTGCGCCATTGGATGAGGCCTGTCATTCTGACGGTGCGCGGCGGCGCCGGGCGGCCCTGACGCCAGCCAGCGCGCCGCGTTGGCTCTCTGGCCGCTCCCGGCCAGTCTGGCCTGGCTGTCAGGGCACGCTCTGCCCCGAGACCTTGCAGTCCCCCTGTGCCTCTGAGCTGTCGACGGACCACCAGGATGATATCCCCTGCCCTCTGCCCGGGTGGCGGACGGACTCTGTGCCCGGCTGGTCGGGTTTCATCACTCGCTGCTGGTCGCGGTCACCTTCCCACCTGGTCGGCGCTGCGTCACGGCGGAGCCGGGGACCGTCTGCACGGCGGTCGCCCCCGCCCGCTGCCTCCGCTCACCGATAGGCTGTCGGCCGGCCGGCCCGGGAAACATGGCGACGCTCCCCGGCGGCGGAGCACGTGACGCACCCGTGTCGTGTGCTGCGGACGGCCGGCCGACCGGCCAGGGTCCGGCCGACGGGCGATGGCGGCCGGCGCGGCGGGGGCGACGCGGCCGACCGGCGGCTTTGTGCGCCACCCCGGCCGCCGCCGCGCGGCTCCGCCGGCTGCGTGACAGCGGTCGGTGCCGCCGGCCGGCCGGCCGACGCTGACCCGCCGCGCTGCGCCGGCCGGGGCCAGGTGGTCCGGCCGTTCTGCATGCCTGGCTGCCCGTCGGCCCGGGTGAACGACTCGCCTGGGTGCGCGTCCGGCCGAGGAGCTGGCGGCCGGCGCTCTGCACGGCGTCAGGCGGGCCGCGCCGGCCCGGTATGCCGCGCTGCACCTCGGCCGGACCGGCTCGGCCCCCGCCCGCGCTGCACGGCCGCGCTACCGACCGCCGCTCCTCCCTCGCCGCGCCTGGCCGCTTTCGCCGAGCCGCCGCGGGCGCCGGTGAGCCGCGCGCGTCCCGGCGTCCCTTCCCTCCCTCCCTCCCCTCCCCGACCGGCGCACCCCGTCCTCGGTCCGCCGCGCCGGCCGCGGCACCCGACTGCACTATCGTGCCCTATCTCCCGGCGAGGAGCGCGGTCACCCTCCGTCTGAGCGGGCCGGCAGCTCTAGGGCGGCGGCAGCGCCCCGCCGTGTCAGCCCGCCGTCCTGTCCGGCCCGCCGTGCCCCGTACTTCCCGCGGCACTGCAGGCTGCACGTTTCCAGCTGATGTCACCCCGCCCGACAGCCTGGTGGGGTCCGAGTTGTTTGTCGTGCTCCGAAGCCCGGTTTTTGGCGGTCTGCCAGGTGTACGGATGTCAGACAGAATCGTACCCGTCTCAGCGTTCGCACAAATAGGAGTGGCCTCTGTGGATCGTGTTGTGTGTTCTCGAAAGCTCTGTCTACGCCCAGCTGGTGCTGTATTTTGTCTGTCATTCCACCGCTCTGTGGCTGGCGCTGCGTGTTCCTGGCCCTCTGTAACTGCAGTGGGCAGTGACCCCTTCCCCGCCCTGTCATGCACGCGTCATCCTCCCTGTGATGGCCCCGCGTCCTGTCGCCGCGTCCGCCACCTGGCGTCCGCGTGGGCCGCACGCCGCTGCGAGTGTCCGATTTCACCGCGCGCGTGGCCTGGGCCCGGTCCGGTCCTCCCACTGCACCGGCCGCCGCTCCTGTCCGGGCGCCGCCACTGCCAGAGACGCCAATGCCCTGGCGTCTCTCCCCAGCCGGGAGGCGGTCTGGAATCAGCCGACTTTGTCTCACTTCATTCGGCCCATCGGGGCTCAATCGTCTCGGTAACTCCCGCATTGAGAGCTGCCCGAGGGCCTGTCGGCAGTGACGGCGGTGACTGGTGACGCAGTCAGTGATGCCGCGACGGCAGTGACGCGGTGTCTCGCGGCTGAGCGGCGGCCCACCCTCCCAGCCCCAGCTGACCGGCCAGCGTCACCGTCAATACAGCCGTGTCAGTGTGCAGGTCCGGGACGCGCTATCGGCCGGCCAGCTCCGAGTCGATAGTCGCTGCGCTGCACTGTCGCTCGGGTGGAGGATCTATTCCGACAGGCCGGCGCGCAGTACCGGCCGGCTCGGAGGCCGCCCCGACCCCGGGTTCCGGGTAGTGTGCTGTGTGGTGTCGAGGCCGGTGGCCTGTGACTGTGTGACTGTGCTGCTCGGTGTGCTGTGCTGTGCCGTGTCGCTCCACTGAGGTGTGAGGGTAACACGGCCTGCTCACCGCTCACCGTGTCATGTGTGCTATCAGCTCGAACCGGTGTGTGCCCGGCGTGTGTTTGCATTCCGTCAACCGGAAGCAGATTCATATCGACACACGTGTCACCCAGCGGCGCACCCCCTCCCCGCCCCGCTCGCCGTTTGTATCAGCTGTTCCACACTCAGAGTTACACCATTCGGCGGCTTATCTGACTGCTAACCAATGTTGAATAGCTGGACTCTCGCGATTCGGTGGCGTTTGCCCGTCCGGCTGTGGCTGCCCGCTCCGCGGCGAGTGTGTCCTGTTCTGTCCGGCGGCCGACTGTCCTGTCCTGTGACGGCCAGCACCGATCGAACCAGCGCCGCTGGGCGGGTTATGTGCAGCTGGTGCGTCACCCGGGCTCCACTCGATAGGAGCTGGCTGACTCAGTAGCTCACCCCCACTGCGCCGGGCTGCCAGTCCGCCCAGTTTGTATGGCCCACTCTGTCCATCGGAGCTGCCGCTCTGCTTTATTAGCCGGATGATGACGTCATGTGACGTCACTGGGTCACATGACGTCATCATTGCACGCGGATAGGATGTGGTGCGTCACGGACTGGCCGTGAGAGATGACGACAGCGCTCCCGGGAGTTCGAGATCGTTCCCTCCCGAGCGCCGGACCTCTCCTCAGCTGTCCCGATCTCAGACCGCTTTCTGTGCCCGGCGGGACGGTGTTGTTGTTGCACGGTAACGACCGCGTCCGGCCGGCCCGTGGCCGCGTGATCGGCCGGATTTACGGCGCTCACGGCCGACAGAGGTGTAATTGGTGTGTTGACGTGACCTTGCTCCAGTCTCGGCCGACCGGGCCAGCCTCTCACGCCGTTCCGGCCCGTCCGAGAGGGTCCCTACATGGCGCTGCTGCCGACCTCGTTCGGTGAGCGCCGCGCCACCTCAGACCCCGGGTCCACCACTGGCATTCCCCAGTCAGCTACAGTCGTTTTTTTTTGTTGTTTTGTTGGGTTAGGCCCTTTCGGTCTGACAAGACCATTGCAGAGCCGGAAGGAAGATAGGAATTAGGGGGAGACATTGGTCTGGGCAGGCACCCTAGTGAGTCGCCGGGGCTGAGCCCGTAGCTACAGTCGGACCCGTGTCCAATCACATGTCAGATGGTCAGAGTCCGCATCTAGCGGGTGAGCGTCGCAACAAAATAAACAAACCAACCGTCGTTATCACCGTAATCGGTCCATGCATGTCCGCAGTGTGTTGTGAATGCCACCGTATCGTGTCCGGCAACCGATAATGACCGTGTCAATTCTCTTGTTTCAGGAGAAGAGATTAGCCAATCATGGAGAAAGATTCCAAGGGCGGTTCTGACAAGAAGCGCTCGTCCAAGGACCATGGGTCGAATCCGACCCCGCTGGACCCGAGCCTGTTCGGTAAGTGGGCGCCATCCCCGGCTGCCACTCCCCACACACAGTGCACAGTCACACTCCCGTCTCCCAGTGAACTCCCCGCGGCCCGGCCGGACGCGTAGCTCTGCGGCCGTCCCCTGGCGTAGCAGCGCTGTGCTGCGGTGGCTGCCTACAGTGGCGCCGTCCGTCCTCTGGCGTAGCTGTGCTGCGGTGGCTGCCTGCAATGGCGCCGGTCCGGCCGAGTGTGGGAGGTGCGCCGGGCGCGCCCGCCGCCCTCCCCCGCCGGGTTTTCCAGTCGTACCGCGCCGCGCCGGCAGCGGCGCCGTGCCAGCCCATAGAGGAGGCGGCCGGAGAGCTGCTGCCGCTCGCAGCTCGGCAGCAGGGAGGGGCAGACGGGCGGCAGAGGGGTCGAAGAATGGAAACTGGGGGGCGCCCTGATCTCACACACCTTCCCGGCCCCTCGGTCCCCGAGTTGCTGCAAGCGCTGTAGGTGCTCATGTAACTATTTTATATAGTTTACCCCGCCTGTGTCATTTGATGCTGTCGCTTCTCAGAGATTCTTGCCATTGTACGACACTTTCTGTGGGATGTAGGTCACGTATTCCGCTGGCACTGGTGGATTCAGAAAGGTGGTCTTGGATTAAATGAAGGTAATTAGCATGCTGAATCGAGAAGCCGTCTCTAAATGTCTGCGTGCCCAGTGCACACACGTTTTGTCTTCCCGCAATGAACGACGCCTAATGATGAGCGATTTTCTCTGAAACCTGCAACAAACCGGCACTGCAGTTCCAAAAATGAAATGCCGGTCGGTACGTGGAATTACTCATTGTTTGTTTGACATTTTTATCTTTCGAACGACGACGCTGCTCACCACAACACACGAGCTCTGTGATGATGCAAGTCACGGCCAGGGACACCGCTAAACATTGGAACAAGCGATGTAAATTGTGTCGACACATCCCAGCTAGCAGCTGAGTGATCCGTTCCGCGAAATATTTCCGTTTTACGACGAAGGAGCTCTTCGGGGAGTACGGGGGGGGGAGGTATAGCCATCACTTATCGAACTAAAAATAATCAGCGGGCCTGCTGACCCGGCATTCCCTCGCGCCGACCCGACGTGACAAAACGCCGTGTTCAGAATTGACTCACATAAGAGACGCCTCTCAACCTCTCACCGATACTGCATGCCACCTGACTGCATTTGGTAGGCGGTTGCATATGCAAGTTACACCACATTATCCGGAGATTATCCATTCGGTGCGTCATCACAGAATGGTAACGATCGGCTCGGTGAACTTGAATAATGTGCATACATTACTGTCCCATATCACTATTGGGTCATGATCTGAGTTGTAAGGGCTGCATTAGGGACTGTCTTACCGTGGGACTCAGGAATGCATGTTCAAATAGAACCTCAAATAGAAATAATCATTCGCAACAATCGACCTGAACAGGTGTGTTATGAATAACTCAGAATGTCTCGGTTCTCAAGCAATATTTTCCGATGAGAATTGACTGCTGTGGTCCTGCGTTTTCATTGAACATTTGGTGATGTTCTGTACGACTGTTTTCAAGGAAGGACACTGTCTTTGAAGCCAGCCTTTCCCTGATTAGCGCCGCTCCTGCCATGCCATCTGCACGCCCGTCCGTGTCTGTGCGCCTGTGTGCCGTGTGAGCGGGTCTGTGGCGCGCCGTGCCGCTCGCCGGGCCCGGCTGTCTGGGAGCCGTGCGGCGCAGGTGTCAGTCGGCCCGGCCGGCCGCCCCCGGTCCCTCCGTCCGCGCCGCGCCCGCTTTGTTCGCCGGTCGACCGCCGCCGCCGCCGCCGCCGCCGCCGGTCATGGCGGTCGGCGCGCACCGTGTCCGCTCGACCGCCGCCGTCAGCTCCCCTCAGAGTGGATCGGCCGGGGAGAGCCGCACTCGGCCGCAGGTCGTGACGGACGGCTCTGCCGGACGAACCCGGCGGCCGCGCTGTCCCCAAACTGCCCCGGTCCATCAGCGCAGCGCCGACAGCACCGCGGTGGGACTCGGCGGCGTCCCTACCGCCTCCGCCCGCGGTCCTCCGAGCGTTCGGGATGCGCCCGGGATCCGTCCCGCTCGTGCCGGAGTGCGGCGATCGGCGCGACCCCTGGAGCGTCGCCGGCGCCCCCTCTCCGCTCGGATCTCCGTCCGACCGAGCTCGCGCCGGCTGTCGCGACGAGGTTCTCCGACCGTTTGTGATGGAGAGCTACACGCAGAATCACGCAGCGTATGGAGACGCTATCATTTACGCTACGCCTTTTCAATGGACTATATAAACTGTATCGGAGGTCTAAAACTTACCGGTCCAGCGCGGCAGACGCGTCTCTCGGGCGCAATCAGTGCCTTGCTCTCGATCCCCGCAGCCAGCGGCTAGTATCAATCTCAATCTCTGCTGCTGGCGCACTGCTCTCAATATCCGCCCCGTGCTTGGCTTTCAATCCATGGTCTCTGCAGCCGGCGCCGCCGCACCGGTCGCAGATCCTGTTTCGCGGCGCCGCTCGTCCGTCGGTGCTGCGCTCAAGTGCTGCGCGTTTTTACCGCGGCGGTCGTTTACCTCGGCCGCCATGAAAAACGTCGCGTTGGAGCGGTGCCGATGGTGCTGCAGAGACCTGGCGGCTCCCTGGCCGCTGCTGCTCGGCCTGTGTTCTGACGCCGAGCCGCCGCCGTGACCGCGGCACGTCCGGTCGACCCGGCGGGGCCCGGCGGCCGCCGGTCACCCGCCCGGTGCTCCCACCGCGGCACATACTCCGTGTCCGCCGTCAGCCCGCCGGGACCGACGGCGTCGGCTGTGTGCGTGACACAGCCTTCCCTGTGCGTGTCACCGCTCCCCGCCGCCCGGTCCGTGAAGCCTCACTACTCCCCGGGGCCGCGGCGTCCTGCCCTTTCCCTTCCCGCGCCGCTGCCTGGCTGGGGAGCGAGCGGCGCGCCTGTCCCGTCCCGGCCGGCGCTGCTGCATGACTTTCTCGGGCGGCTGTGGCTCGGGCCGTCCCGGGGCGGCGGCGGCGGCGGCTCGCACAAGGTGACCCTGCGCGCCGGGCGCGTCCCGCTCCGGCCGGCCCGGTATGGCGGCCGGCCGCCGCTCCGTCGAGTGTCGGCGGCTGGGCAGCTGGCCGGCGGCCGACCCCTCCCTCCCTGCTCGCCGGCCTGGCCTTGGTCGGCGGCCGCCTGCTCGGCCCTGCCGCGCCCGGGCCTGCTCTGGCCGTGTGGGCGCCGCGGCGTCACAGCCCGTGCCGTGACGCTGTGCACCGACACGTCACCGTGACGCCCCGGGCGTGATAGCGCGGCCGACGGTGGAGTGGTGCCGCACCCTGCAGCCGCCGCGGCCGAGCGTTCCGTAGCCCCAACCCACCGCCAGTCGTCACGAGACTGGGCTGTCGCGATTCATTTTTAGCCCGTCCTCTCCTGTCACCCCTTGCCTCCTTAGTCGCACTGAACACGATCACGGATGCGCTCGTCCGTCGATGATCGATCTGCGTCGTATGCTCTTCCGTCCGATGTTTTATTAGGTCACAGCCGGCAGAGGTTCGCAGCGATCACTGAACACGTTCGCGGGCGGTAATTTGTCCCATAATTACCGATGCACGGAAGTGGGAGGAGGAGGGGGGGGGGGGGGGGGTCGTTAATTGATGCTGCTCCTGGACGATGACTGGGTGGATAACAATCGATGCTTAAATGAGGAGAGTGGGTGGACAGCGACAGATTAGATAAAATATCGCCGTCTGAGACGCATCGTGGTGTGTTGAGATACTAGCCTGCAAATTGTTTATGCATCAACTCTGTCCTGATTTCTAACGATGTCAGATTGGTGCATTTGAATTTATCTACTTCACGTCTTCCCCGAAAGATGGTTGCAATGAGTCAAATCAACGTAGCGTGCAGCGCCGCTTGTTACCCAGATGGCAGATACCGGGCTCAGTGTCCCTATAGCGGGCTCGCGGACGGCCGACCGTCCGCTCTCCCATATATGGCCCACGTCGCCACCGGAACGGAAGTGCATACCATATCGACCATAGCCATGTAAGGGATGATAGGCGCATCAGCTGTACCCTCCGAGGATGCCCGTCGGCTGTGTGACAGAACAAGTGGACCGGCGCTGTTTTGGCTCCCCGCTGTTGGCTTCATGATGACCGTAAAACGAGCATGCGAAGCGCCATAAAACCAAATGACTCACACTTTGACGTGACACATTATTCTGCTGGGTTATAACAGTCACACGTCTGCGACAAATTATTCTGCTGAGTTATAACAATCACACGTCTGCGACAAATTATTATCACCATTCTATGAAAATCTCCACACCCTGCCTATTTGTCAGTGCGTTAGCTATAGCTCTGACGACCAGCGCTTGTATTTTGTGATGTCCCGTCAGCCCTCCCGGCCCGCTCAGCGCCTCTGACCTTGTCTGTCTGTTTCAGCGCACTCGCTGTTTGGAGGCGCGGCGGCCGGCTTCAACCCGATGATGATGCCCGGCTTCCCGATGATGCCGCCCGTCTCGTCTTCGGCGGCCACATCGGCGGCGACGTCGGCGGCGGCGGCGCACGCTGCGCTGGCGTCCATGGCCAGCAACCCGGCACTCGGCGCCAGTGAGTACCCGACGGCCAGCCGCGCCCCGACAGTTCGGACCTTCTCTAGCTGTCCTATGTAGTGTACTCTGTCATCGATAATTGCGCCGTCTGCGATTTAACCCGCTCCTCTCAGCCAGTGTTTCCGCTCTGTGTGTCCATTCGTTTTCTCAATCTAATCGTGTGTTCTCTGCAGCGAACCATTTTTCAGCCGGACGTGTTAAATCGAGTTCTCGATACATTCCGTCGGAGCCCGTTTGTCCTTTGATCTTCCGCGAGTGATGGGCTGCTCGGGATGTTTCCGTCCTCTATATCGGCGCCGCTGAGTGCATTTCCAATCACCCGTTTACGGAAGGATCGGCTCGTCTCTCTCTGGTGTGTATTTCTCGCTCCGGAGCCGCCGGGAGATTTGTTTACCGTCGCCCAGCTCCTCCGCGCGCCCCCGATCGGGTCGATTCTGTTCAGCAGCCGTGTCACGTCTTCTGACGAGATATCCCGTAATGAATTGCACGTTCCACTTGTCGTCGACAACGGTTCACTCTCGATATGCAAACTAAGCCGAGAACGTCCGATGAAGATTCGATTCGGAGCCGGTTCTTAACGCCTTTTCCATTTACTCGGAAGTCATTTTAGGTAAATTTTACGTCGTGTCCTATAGCGGCGCGGGCGGCTGTAAAATTACAACTTTTACCGCTACTTGGCGTGGTCCGGCGCGGCATTATTACTACCCTGGCGATCATTCAGTCGCCATCATTCATCACCGTCGTAAGATCAACAGGTGCTGACATCTTTAAAGTGGCGCGGTATTCATCAGTTCGGGTCTCAGCCACTGTCTGTGTTCCCCGGGCCGGGTGGCCGCTCCCGGGACGACACGGGGCCGCCCGAGGCGCCGGCGGACTGCCGCGTGTCACCTGTTCCCGGCAGACAGACACACTGACGGCGGACAGACATAAAGACGGCCGACAGACACACAAACGACTGGCAGACACACAGTAGGCAGTCAGACACACATACGGCCGACCGATTAGAGCAGACAGACACACAGACAGACACACAGACGGCCGATCGGAGCCCGCAGACAGACACGCGGCCGACCAGAGGAGGAGCGCCCACAGACAGACGGCGGACCGACCGGCCAGCGCCCACAGACAGACACACAGACACTCGGACGGCTGGCAGCGCCGAGCCCACGCCCTGTCAAGGACACGGCGCCACGGCCGGCCACGTCGGCAGCTGCTCGGCCGGGCCCGAGCTGCGCCACGGTCGGACGGCTCACCAACCCAGTCTGTGCAGCGGCACAGGCCCAGCATCACGCACTCTCCAGGATAGATGACCACTGCACTGGTCAGACGACCCGAAATCTGGTGGGCGATGTAGGCTATCTAGTGGTTGATGTATGATATCTGGTGATCGATGTATGATATCGCTGGCTGTTCATTCTCGCTGCCCACTGCCCGGCGTCCTTTCCACCCACCCGTTGCCCGTCCGTCGTCCGCTGGCGTGCGTCCGCTGCCCGTGTCCGCATGTCCGGACAGCCGGCGGCACTCGGTCACCACGGACGGTATCTCGGTGATAGACACAGGTGTCCATTTGTATTTGGCCTGATACTGATCGTGAGTCTTCCCAGTGTGTCAAACGGCGCTATCCGAGCGGCCGGTCGCGTCACCGGGCGCCCACACAACGGCGCTGCATGGCCCGTAATGCTCCACATGAAGTGCTGCATGAGGAGACGAGACTGCCGACGTGTTGCTATGTTCCTCGGGCGGGACGCGCGGGGTCCGAGACGGCGAATGAATGGGAGATAAACTATTGAATTATGTAACGATGAATAAGCCGTTCTCGGTTCACAATCACGTCGCATCACACCGTTTAGATGTTATGGTGCGGTGTTGACGTGTCCAGGTGACTGTTCCAAGGCTGTGACAAGGCTAATCGTCTACCAGTGAGCTAATGGTTACAGCGATCCGTACCAACACGTCACAGAGACGGGGCGGCATTGTTCGGCGGCACCCCGCCGGGTTTTTGTTTATTTTCGTCCTGCTGCTACAGAGGTAGATGCGTGTTGCGGCCTCTAGCCCCTCACCCTGCGCCTATCGCCCTGGGAAGACGGCAGTAGGTCAGACATCGGGCGGATCTCGGCGGCTCTGTACACCGTTCCGGCAGCGGCGGTCGGTACCGGTAGGGGTGGTTGGATCAGCAGCACAGCACCGTTAGCCTCTGACGGTGTCAGCGCGACCTTCAGAGCTCGACTGTGCTGGATCCTTCCCGGCGGGTTCGGCTCGGAATGTTCGTGGGTGGTGCGGCGGCCGGTGTTCTCTCGGAGCCAGAGTGTCACCTTGGAGGGGCTGCTCTGCACACTGGCCCGTGAACGGTGGTTGCGTGGCGAGGGGAGGGGCGCAGGGAAGGACGCACTACCTCACCGGCTGCCCTTGTCCAGTCGCTTTTCTCCTTGGCCACATTGACATTTTTCAACCCAAGCGTAACGAATGGGTTTGCGGATGGCCACAGTTGTTGCATTTTGTTCCTTGGTTCATCCCATAAGTGTTTTATTTGCTAATACTCACTCAAAAGTTGAATTCGTTGAAACATATTCCAGGGTAGTTACCTTGCTGAATTAAATAATTTAATTATTTGTTGGAAGAATAACAGCGGGTCATTAACTCTTCCAAGTGATGATTCTATGCTACATTAAGTTTTATGTTTCGATTGTCACAGGAACAGCATTTCAAGTAGCTCCAGTGCATTTCAGGTAGCTGCCGACGATTAGGTGCCATCATCGCGCCCATTCTTTCGGAACGAATTGCCCCCACTTCCTTATGTTTGCAACTTGAATGGTCCAATTGAGCACGGGCTTGCGGCTGGCGGCAGTATGACGTTTATTTACTGATAAATGTGAATCCTCTGCCTCTGTTCTTCCGAGCAACCCTAACGCGGAAGGTCACGACTTCCTGAAGAGGCTTTCTGAAGAACACACCAACTTTTCTTGTTTTTAACTTTCATTACTTTTCAGCATCGTTGTCATTGTATTTGTGTCATATCCATGTGTCGGGTTATGTATTTATTATCACTGATCCGCCTACGTCGACTGGCGCCGTCGGCTGCGGCTGCGGCGGACTGCGTCGTCACCTGGGCCGTCGGTGACGGTGGACCGTCTCCCGCGCCCGCTGTGACGGTGGACCGTCTCCCGCGCCCGCTGTGACGCCGGCCTGGACCGTCTCCCGCGCCCGCTGTGACGCCGGCCTGGACCGTCTCCCGCGCCCGCTGTGACGCCGGCCTGGACCGTCTCCCGCGCCCGCTGTGACGGTGGACCGTCTCCCGCGCCCGCTGTGACGCCGGCCTGGACCGTCTCCCGCGCCCGCTGTGACGGTGGCCTGGACCGTCTCCCGCGCCCGCTGTGACGCCGGCCTGGACCGTCTCCCGCGCCCGCTGTGACGCCGGCCTGGACCGTCTCCCGCGCCCGCTGTGACGCCGGCCTGGACCGTCTCCCGCGCCCGCTGTGACGCAGGTGGTGATGTCTGATGCTGTTGGCGGTCTCCTTCTCCCATCGCATCCTCAACAGACTGATCGGACCCGTTCAGTTTTCAGCTGGGTTAGACCGGAAGCTGGCTGTGCAGTGTACAGTTTCCAACCCCGTCTGGTCTATTTCTATGCTCTGGCCCGTTAGGTTTCAACCGAAACTGCTGAGCTCAGACTCCGAGACAACATTGCCAGCTGGTAACGCCCTGATGACGTAACAGTGTCGGATGACGTCATATTGCCTGTCCACCTACCCGTTCGCTCGGCAGCGGTCTAGAACAGACGTGCGGGCGGACGTGGACCCGTGATCTCTGTGCCTGAGTGCGGAGTCTGTCCGGCTATGCAGCTCCCGTCTGGACTGTCCGTCGGTCGGCCCATCTGTCGCCGTCTGCTCGGCTCCGGTCCGCGGCTCTGGCCGCTGCTCGGTGTCGCTGGGTTCGGACCAGCGCGGCGCCGCCGGCCGCCGGCCGCTCCCCGCCAGATGTGGCCTGCACTGGGCCGGGCGGTTTGCACGACGCCATGGGGACAGTTCTAGCCGCCGGATGTTGTGGGGTCTGTGAGGCCCAAACTCCTGGCCATGGCAGACCGAGCACTGGAGCAGAGCGGGCGGGGTACGACGGATCGAGTGGCGCGTGGTATGGATGAAGGGGAGGCGGGCTGGATGACGGATGGACGTGACTGCGGTCATCCGCCGTCAGTCTGCGGCGGTCGGCCGATCGATTGAGGTACTCCGCCGACGGCGGGATCATGGATGAGATAATAATGGATTGGTGTCTTCGCATTTTTTGGCGACATTGAGCTCAGGCCTGCCATCTAGCGGGAGAATTATCGTAAGTTAGGAGCAAGCCGAGTGAACGCCGCTGATTAGCATTGTGACACACGGGAGTGTGGTGTAGTAGCAGGCTTGCTGTGCAATTTTTTCAAAAGGTTTTGTCTTTATATGTCAGTAAAAGCGAAGAAACTAATAGATTTATGTGCAGGATCAGTAATAAGATAAGCAGTTCCATGTTATTTCCTCATTAAATCGTGAAACAGGGAGTTATTGGAGACTTCGCCAGCACGTGTCGTTTTCGCTATTTTTCACATGAGTCTTTACTCATGGCCTAAATCAAACAAATTGTCCGATCAAAGAACAAAACGAACGTAAGTACTTTCTATAAGTCTAATGAAAAAGTTAAACGGAATTGCTAACGTCATTTGCCGCTCAATATGTCATTCAAGACGCTCTATGAAAAGGACCCAACCAGTGCTGCGTAGTCGATGAAATTTCAGTGACTTTGGCTCCAACTCCGATTCCGGTATCCAAATATGGACTCCGACTTCTCCGGGCAGAACTGTCCATTCACACAGACTCCGACTCTGACTCCGACTCTGCAGCCCTGGTAAGTATGTGAAGTCGATGACTTTTCGGTGACGTTCGACTCATCACTCATACTCCAACTACAGTTTTTAAAAAAATCAACCGACTCCGAGTCGGAACAGAACCGATGGCTCTGACTACAACTCCGCAGCCCTGGCCCAAGATAGCCGCCTAAAACATCTTTGATGTGTGATCTTCTTCGTACATTGTTAATGTTATTTTAACAAGGAGTGGAAAAGGGAGACGAAGCCTTCACAAACAGGGATCTCCTGTTGCAGATCGATCAGCCGCTGGAATAAAAAGGCATAAACACAACGCATCTCATTTCATCGTTTTCCTAACGACTCTGCACCAATGTAAGCACTGATCAATGCAGTGCGAGCATCGATGTGACATTTGTGTACCAATTTTGAGTGTTATCCGCCCAGCCGTTCTTGAGATATGGAAGCGGCACCCCGCACGTGCGCACGTGCAGTAGCACCCCCATAGTGACACATGGAAATGCATTGACCACTGGGTGCCTAACAATTGACGAAGTTTTACTGTAATTGGCCTAGCCATTGCGGAGTTACTTTATGTGGAACAATTTCGACACCCCCTAAGTTGGCACGTGGCACGTGCCGTAGCATTAACTAAGATGAAGAAAATCGGGCGAAATTCGGAGAAGAGGGAATAAGCCTACCAAATATGTATGACGTATTGTCAAACTGCTGTACCATTGCGAGTAAGTGACCATATAAAAGGTCGTACAAGCCGATGGGACTGGGCGTTTCAATACACACCGTACCTTACGCATTTTATTTTCGTTATTACCTAAAGGCTGCTTGACGTTTTTGGCTTTCAAGCATTTAAGACATTTTTTGTCGTCTCAGGTCCAGTAAGATTACCTCCAACTCGTGGGAATATGCACTTCAAGCCAACTAACACACCACACCCACGTGTGTCATAATGCTGAGAGATGGCGTTCACTCGGCTAGCTCCTAACTTACGATAATTCTCTCGCTAGATGGCGGGCCTGATCCCAATGTCGCGGATCCCAATGTTAATTTCCACGAGACACCAATCCAGTGTTATATCATCCATGGCGGGATGATACGGTCCCTTTGGGGTCATCACTCTCAGTAAAAGTCGAGTTGAGTACATACAACTGTCAGATTAGCGAATATGTTGTCATTGCGGCCTCATGAGCAGAACAAATGTCTCTATTGCATTACTGGGAAGCCGTTCACAAGTGGCTTTTCAGAGGGTAGAACGATGGTTAGCTGTTTGTTTCATCGACATCGGACTGCACCAGGTGGTTGACGCTATTGTTCTTTCACATTGGTATTAGCCCGCTCAGCATCCTGTTCCTCACGGTCATTTCCACCTCGTTATCGACAGTTTTTCAGTTGTTCATTTGTCGGGTTGACCGTTTACATGTGAACAATATCTGACCATGTGTTGACGCTCATGAAATGTGTGCCATTTTTATTCGCGCCTTCTTCCGTCAAATAACGATTTCTCTTCCTATCTCCCTCTCTCCCTCCCTCTACCGACCCACCTGACCTGACCGCTGTCCCTCCCTCCCTCTCTGCCCACAGACGCGGCCTGGCTGAGTCTGATGCACCAGATGGCCGCCCAGGACTACCTGAGCCGGCTGCAGTCGGGCGCCGCCGCCGCCGGCCTGCACTCTCTGGCCGGCCTGCCTCAGTACGAGGCGCTCACAGGTGAGTCGGGGCGGGACGGGACGGGCTACACTCGCCTCTAACTATTTAGTGTGGACGGTTGACACTCGCCTCTGTTCACTAGGGGCGGGGTAAACTCGCCTCTGTTCACTGGGGACGGGTGACACTCGCCTCTATTTAGTGGGGACGGGCTACACTCGCCTGCACTCGCTGGCCGGCCTGCCGCAGTACGAGGCGCTCGCAGGTGAGTCGGGGCGGGACGGGGCGGGTGACACTCGCCTCTGTTCACTGGGGACGGGCTACACTCGCCTGCACTCGCTGGCCGGCCTGCCGCAGTACGAGGCGCTCACAGGTCAGTAGATGTCAGGGGCGACACTTTCCAAAAATTATTGGTAGGGCTCTATTGTAAATTTTTGCCAATTCAAAGCGATTCTTTCCACGCAACGCCATAGGCATAATGTTAAATTTCCAAAATTATTGGTAGGGCTCGGGCCCTACCATGCCTATACAAAACGACACCCATGGTAGATGTTACACTCGCCTCCGTTCACTGGGGACGGGCTACACTCGCCTCTGTTCACTGTGAACGGGGTAAACTCGCCTGCTTTCGCTGGCTGGCCTGCCGCAGTACGAGGCGCTCACAGGTCAGTAGAGACAGCGGGGCTACACACAGTCAGCACGGTCAACTGACGACACGGTCTGTAGGTGAAATAGATATATCTGCGATTGAAAAGGAGGAGACAGCAGCGCAAAGGAACTGACGAAGGGCCGAAACAAAAACACTGGTTAGTGAATGCTAGATCAGTGGACACTAAGGCAAATGATGCACCCAAGCTGCATAGCGATGAGGGCAGGCGCATTGCTGATATGGTGTGATTAATTGAACCTGATGGTCTGATTGTTCATCTCACACACCAGCAATGACACAAAGCAGCACAACACAGCAGCGCAACATAGAGCAGCAGCGGGTGGACTGTCCCCTGTGGGGAACACCACTTTGGCTCACCGGGGCTACACGGTCCCCATGGACGGCCAGTTGGTCGTCCGATCCCGGTGACCCGGCCCGACCCGTCTGACCCGACTCTGGTCCCCGGGGCGCGCCGCCGCGCAGTCGACTCTCGTTCCGAACTAGCTCACTCGCCGGCGGGACAGACGGGCCGCGTCGAAACGAGAATGGATTAGGAGCGAGTTTCGACGACGGACTGCCGAACTTCAAACGGTGGACAGCTGGTGCAGGGCAGTTGTGGAGAGTCCTGTGTAGGAGGGCAGGAGGACGGACGGATGCGGCGGTGGCTCGGCCGATGATACCGTCGTGCCGGGTGGATTGTGTCCGCTCCCCGCACTCTCCCCGGACCTCTCCGCTCTCCCCGGACCTCTCCGCTCTCCCCGGGCCTCTCCGCTCTCTCCGCTGCTCTCTACTCTCCCCGGCTGTCCGCGGTGGTGACGTGGCCTCCCGCTGGAGATCGGCGGGCTGGCCGGTGGACCGACTCGCCCGCCACCGACCGGGACCGGCGGTCGATGTAGTGCAGAACAGACCGGCTGCCGCGCCGGGTCAGACGGGATAAGTTCCACCGACTCGCCGGGCCAGATGTCAGTCGTGCATGGCGACCCGCTCCCGATGTCGGCTCCCGTACCGGGCCTCCCATTCCGTGGCGCTCACGGATCTGACAGGGATCTGCTGGGATCTGGCCGGCGCGGTTACCCTCTGACGGGTCCGACCTGGCCCGGCTAGAGGCCGGTGTGATGCTATAATAGTTACAGCGATGTCGGTCGCTGGTCGCCACAGTGCAGGTCGCCATTCGCTAATGTTGTGCTATGGTTGTGCCCGAGGCGGCGTGGCGCCGACCACCAATGGATTATTGGTGTCGGCGGGCAGGTCTGTAGCCTAATGTGTCCGCCGTGTTATGCATACGTGTGTTCTATTTTGGCGTCATGTAACGCCGCGGCCGCACACCGCGCTCACGGCGTTCGATGGTAGGGCGGCTTTGCCGTTCTAAAAGCATTGCAGCTGATTTGGAATTCCGGCCGGAAGATCGACGGAAGTCGATCACCGTATCAGACCAGAGAGGAGATTATTTGTATTCACATCAGACGTGTAGTTCGGTGTGGAGATTTACTGATGGAACTTATATAACGATATCCGGGTATCCGGAAGCTCAGCCACTCAGGAAGTGGACGGGCCGCAGCTTCTCTCAGTACCGATGGCGGCGCAGCACTTTGCACCGCGAGGCGGTTGTAATTACCCGTCCAGACAGCCTGCCCGTCGTCAGCGCAGGACCGGGGACGTGGGTGGCCATTCTCGGGCTGTACGGACTGTTTCTGTGAGGGCGCCGTACCGCTGTCGGTGGGGTGAGGCCGGAGCTGCCTCCTGGAAGGGGTTCTCTCTCCCCACTGAGGGACTGGGCTCGGACGCTGTTCCCACTGCAGCTCGAGCTCGGTTGCTCTCCCCGCTGAGCCACCGTGTCTGTCGGCTGTGGCTCTGGTCGGCTGGCGACGCTCCGCCGCTGTCCGTGCCGTCGCCGGTCCGGTCCGGTCTGGGGCGGCTGGTGCCGATCGATCTGGGGCCGGGACGGGGCGGCGGTGCACCGTCAGCGCGCCGCGGCGCCGGTCCGGACTCGTCCCACGGCCCCCGCCGCCACCGGTGCCGCCGTGCCGAGAGCCAGTCGATATGGCTGCCCGGCCAGATGGCCCGCCCGTCCGTCCGGAGGCCGGCGCCATCGCTGCTCCGCCGCGGCCGCCGCTGCCAGCCCGCGAGATGCCGCCCGGCGTCAGACACACGGACAGCGCTGAGCCGAGTCACAGACCTGAGACCGCCGTCACCGGCCCGCGAGATGTCGTCCGGCGTCAGAGCCACGGTGGGGAGTCACAGCCTGTCACAGTCAGCAGCTGCAGCCGAGAGCCTGGCTAGTCACAGTCACACGTACTGCCGGCCCGAGTCACAGACCGGAGTAACAGGGACAGCGCCGGCCGGACTGAGCCTGTCACACTCACCGGGCCCCGTCACGGACCACAGTTACCTACCATTGTACCGAGCCGAGCCAGCTCCGTCACCGCTGCTGCCCAAGTCGCTGCCGTTATAATCGTCACGGGACACGGGCTGCCGCCGATACGGTGCTGCAGGCGACCGGCCATTGCATCTCACAGGGCACGAGGGACGAACGGTGCACCCTGGCAGCGGTACACACATCTTTCATAGAGCATCTCTCATACGGCGTGAGGGACGTGCGTTACACTTTGTCGCTGGCATAACGATAGCGAGCTCGCTATCGTTATGCCAATTTCGTGAACGACCGTGTTAGTGCCCCAATCATCATTAGCAACTACCTTATCTAGATCCCCAGCACCCTGCTGTCTGCATCTGACTCGTCGGGGGCGCTGATTGTGTCTCGTAGCGGCACTAGTTCTGACAGGCCAGTGGCGCCGATTCTGGCTCCGAGCCGCTGTCGGCGGCACAAAAAGCTGCTTTGTGCCCGGCGACGGCGCGCAGCGCTGACGTGCGTGTGGGCTGCGCCGCGAAGTCGACCGTTTCCACGCCGGCGCCGCCACCCTGTGACCAAACCGGTCCGTCTCTCTGTGTGTGTTGCAGGAATGAAGGCGCCGAGCACCAGCAGCGGCGGATCGGGGTCCGGATCCTCCTCCTCCAAATCGTAAGTACCGCGCCGGTGGGAGGAGGGGACGGCAGGGGAGGGGTGGGAGCGGGTCAAGGTCGCCGCCGCGGGCGCTGACGGATGGCTCGACACGACAGAGGCACTCGCTCGCCTTGTCAGGCGGCGACAAAAACTGTTCGCCCACCTGCCGTCGCGCTGAGCGTTGGCGCCGGTGACGGCCGCTCCATTTTCGGCCGGCCGGACCGCGCGGTCGAGTGTGGCGCGGTACGTGCAGTTGAATAACCCGGCGATCTCACAGATAGCCGGTAACGGTTCCGCGGCAATCCGCGGAGCCGACTGTGATCGGGGTGATTAGCCCTTACGCCATCCAGAGCGGAAAATAAGGCAGCCACTGAGTGCCGTGTCTATGTTTAGCTTTTCGTGATTCAATATGCTAATAATAACGGGAAAGTGATGTGTTGATTTTTCATATTTAGTACCTCATGTTTGAGCTGGTTGTATATTCGTAATGTTTCGTGTACCTGTTGAGGCAGGCGTAACAGGTTTGATGGCCGCTCTGAAATGTGTCCACTTCATTAGGTATGCTAAGCTGCGGCTCCCAATCAGGGGGAGGGCGGGGAGGGGAGGGCAGGCCACGATGGCTGCAGCCGAGCCGAGGCGGGGCCGCTGGGGATTGTCGAGTGCCGTCTCTATGGTTATTGCTCCTCGCTATTGTGTCCTTTGCCAGCCATTGCGCCACGTGTCTGTAATGAGATATGTTAGCCCTTATTGTCCGAAATTTCGCGCTTTGCTCAGTCTCTCAGACTCCGTCCCGTCTTTCAATGTCCCCGCTCCATTAAATCCCATCCCACCCCACCCCTTGCTTCTCCTCCCACGCATCCCCTGGCCTCCGGCCGGTCGGGCGCGCAGCGGCTCTGTAGGTGCCGGCGGGCCGTGTTTCAGCCGTACCGGCGGCCCTCTGCTGCCCGACGGTACCGAGATAATCAAGCACACCTCGTCCATCAGCGGCCCCAAGGTGCCCGGCACCACCAACCGCGGACGAAAGAAGACCATCTCGTTGGACCCGCCGTACGCCGCCGCCGCCGCCGCCGCAGCAGCAGCCGGGGGCTCGCTGACGCACGGAGTCTCCAGCATCCTGGGCAGATCGCCGGCCACGGAGGTGGGTCACTAGCGCTACTTGCTGCAGAACAGGGATAATGTGTGGGAAAATGGGGAAATAAGTCATAAATGTCATATTTGCTTCCGTATGCCGCTGAGAAATGTTAATGACGTGCCACCGACTGTCATTATCGCTTTGTCACATGTCGACCGAGCCGAGACCCGCCACCTTTCGGGTTCTCATTTCCGTGTGCTGTCCCTTCTGTCATTTCTGTCTCCCCTGTGCTGACTCTCCGTCCCGTCCCTCTGTGTTTCCCCCGGCAGACGCGGCTGACAGTGGTAGTGGTGTGATGACCTCCCCTTCCTTCCCCTCCCTGTGCCCCCGGCAGACGCGGCTGACAGTGGTACCTCTCCCGTGTACTGACTCCCCGTCCGTCTGTTATTTGCCCCGGCAGACGCGGCTGACGGACAGTGGTATGTCGCCCTATTCTCCCGTGTACTGACTCCCCGTCCGTCTGTTATTTCCTTCGACAGACGCGGCTGACGGACAGTGGTAGTGGTGTGCTGACCTCCCCTTCCCTCCCCCTCCCTGTACCCCCGGCAGACGCGGCTGACCGTGGTACCCCTCCCGTGTACTGACTCCCCGTCCGTTTGTATTTCTCCCGGCAGACGCGGCTGACAGTGGTACCCCTCCCGACGTGTGCTGACTCCCCGTCCGTCTGTTATTTCCCCGCCAGACGCGGCTGACGGACAGTGGTATGTCACCCTATTCTCCCGTGTACTGACTCTTCCCACCCCTCCCTCTCTGTGTCCCGGCAGACGCGGCTGACGGACAGCGTCACCATCACCCCCACGTCGTCCAAGTCGACCAGCGACCGGCTCCGACAGCTGGAGATGCTCGGAACCAAGGTGGAGATTAAGCCAGTTGCTAAGGACTCTGGCGCGGTTAGTGGGCGGGTGGTCAGTCCCAGTTGGTCCGTCTCGGTCAGACTAACCGGCGCACCGCTTAGCGCGCTAACGGATAGTCACGGCAGAGCGGCGCCTAGCTTAGCGCTAATGGATAGTCATGCCAGAGCGGCGCTTAGCTTAGCGCTAGCGGCTAGTCGAGGCACTAGGGCGCCTAGCTTAGCGCTAACAAGCTAGTCCCAGCACTGGGGGCGCCTAGCTTAGTGCTAACGGCTAGTCAAGCTGGTACCGGGGTGTCTAGCTTGGTGCTAACTGCTAGTCACGGCTGGGTATTTTTGCTAGACTGCTGAGCGGTGAGCAATGCGGGCTTGTTGCCACTAATGGAGGCTGTGGAGCGGGTAGCGGGGTGTGGTGGCGCACGGGTTTGGCGGGGCTGGATTCGATCTCGGGGAGGATGGATACTGTACCGCCCGTCCGCACTGCTTGACACCGCACCGCGCAACCAAGGGAGGAGGGGAGGGTCGTATGGAAAGGAGAGGGACTGCATGAGCTAACCGAATGGCCAGAGAGCTTACGGAGTCCTTTGTAAACGGGGCAATGACAGGGGGGTCGAGGAGCATAGTGAACTGAATATGGGTCTAACGGACTTAACAGGGTAGAGGGTGGATCACTTAACGCCGTAAAATAGTTTCACTTAGGCTTGCTCGTCTAGTCGCTTGTAAAGGGAAAAAGCTAGGCACCAATTTAGCATGTCGGCGAATGTTTTTGACAACAAAACTGCATGTTTTGCATTAAAATCTAACACTTGCCCTCCTTTTGAAAACTCTGATCAGTTGACATCTTTGTTACATCATCAAAGAACTTTTTTACACATCTACCACCGCGATTCCAGGCTTATGTGATGTTGCAAACTTTGAAAGTAAAATATTTTCTAGTCAAAGTAGTGGCTAGTGAGCAAGGCTAGTGAGCAAGGCCCTCAATTTCTCTTTGGCGACTCTCGTTATTTTTGTCCCCGCCAGTCCAGGCCCTCTGGCCCGCTCCACCCCGCCCCCCGCCCCGCGCCGCGCGGTGACCCGTCTGACCCCGTCCCCCGGCGTGCCCCGCAGGTGGGTCAGCTGCCGTCCACCTCGGGCAGTGCCCAGGTGACCATCACCCCGGTGGCCGCCAAGGGCACCACCATGCTCACCAGCTCCGTGTCGCTAACGCCCGTGGAGCGCGCTGGAGGTTCGCGCTCACCACCAACCGCCGCCGACGGGCCGCTCAACCTCTCCAAAAAGCCGCCGCCGCCAGCCGCCTCCAAAAGTGAGTGGATCATGGGAGGAAATGGGCTTGTTCAGGAGTGTTTAGCCTCCCCATGGCGTACGTAAAAGACTCACCAGTTTCCTGATGGGTAGCGTGAAAGCTCTTGCCGCAATTTATGATCCACTAGTGACGGTCTTATGTGTACCTGTGCACTACAGATGCCACTGGCTGTGTCCAATGTCCACTTTGGCCCTGTGTCTTTCGAGCGGAGCAGCCTGCCTGACGTGTCTGCGTTCCCGGACTGTCTGTGTCTGTTCTGACTGTCTGTTTGTCCCCGTGCAGAGCGGAGCAGCCTGCCGGACGTGTCTGCGTTCCCGGGCGGCGCGGCCGCTGCCGCAGCGCTCGGTGTGCCGCTCACTCCCGAGATGCAGATGGAGCAGCTGCGCTTCCACACCGCCATGGCCTCGGCTCAGAAGGTGAGTACTCGCTGTGCGCGCGCCGACACCTCCCCGTCCGCTGCGCTCCCGGCTGTCTAGTTTGGCACGAGCCTGGCTGCGGGCGCGGCTCGGGGGCGGGCGGGCGCGGCGCCCGGCCGCTGGCTGTGGGCGGCAGCGTGTGTATAGCCGGGCCGGGCTGGGCCGGCTGACGCTGCATGCTCGGGACTGCTGTGGGCGCGGCTGACGGGCGGCGGCGGCCGGCAGGCGATGGCGGCGTTCGGAGCCGGCGGCAGCGGCAGCGGGAGCAGCGGCAGCGGACAGCGGCGCTCGCGCGCCAAGAAGCTGGGTGTGGGCGTGTCGCGACCGAAGAAGAACACGGTGGCCTCCCTGCTGGCCAACAGCCGCGGCACGGACGACGGCAGCCAGGTAGGCAGTCGGGGCCGGGCGGGCGCCGCCGCGCCGACCGCCGTGTCACCAGGCTGCAGCTGTACCCGCAATACCCGCTTACCATACCGCACTGGCTGTGTAGCTGACGGTTCTGACTGTATAGCTGACTGCAATGGCTGTGCCGTGCTCCTGTACAGCGCACAGCGATTGATGCATAGCATAATGCGATGACTGCATAACACACAGCTGTGCTGGCTGCATAACTCACGCTGGTCTCTAATTAATGACCGCATGTCGGGGGGGGGGGATGTGTCCTCTTAAATTCAGTGCCTGTGCTGGTCTATGCTGAAGACCTTTTATGTTCTTATTGTATGGTCTTGATGTAAGGTAGTTTTGTTGTACCTATTATACATACGGATGTGTTCTTTTGAGATGCTATTTTTACGCCCAGATAATGACGCACTTTTCGTACCAGCATGCCTAACATTGCATCTTAACCTTAAGAATGCAATCATGAGTATAAAGTTACATACCTGAGGGGCAATATAAAGCCGAAAATGAATGAAATTTCGTGAAGAACTTGTACAAATACGGAACTATTCTCGTTTTGAATCGTCCCGTATTAGAATATGTTAATCTCTCTGGAGCACTAGTTCGGTGATTTGAATGGAATAAGCTGTCTTACATGTTGATAATCGCGATATTGACCGTAAGGTAGGCTTAGTCAAGAACATTTGAATGCATTTTCATTGTAAGAATTCCCAGAGGTTGCAAAGTATCGGACAAAAGTTGGTTTGCGCTCGGAGAACGGCAGCGAACTGTGCCTACTGACCCTGAACCTGCAGCTGTTTGGATCGGTGCCCATTTCCATATTATTCTCATAAGCGGGAAGTGACGACTGGCCGTTTACATATCGGGGCGCTGGCTATAGCCTGTCTGGCGTCACCGGCCACCGGACCGCGATAGACCGTTCGCGGAGCCAATAAAACGTGTAATACACCCATCGGAGAGGTGCCATGTTTGTGCTCTGGATAATACCAGGACCAAACTGCTGCCTAGTGGAGCGGAGCCCAGCTGTTGTCGCCACTCGCCATATTCTCGGTTTCCCCCTCCCTCCCTACCCCGCCGGTCCCCACGCCCACCCGGCGTCCCCGCCCGTCCCCTCGCCCACCCGCCGTCCTGAGGACACCAGCTGAGACCGTGAGCGCTGCTGTAGTGGCGCTATCAGTCGGTAGGCCCGAGCGCTGAGTCATTCCGCGGAGTGGACTGAGTCAGCGTGGCCGGCCGACCGCGGTGACTGGCGGGCTGTGTCCGGGGGTGGCTAGAGTCGGAGGTGTGCCTCTCACACAGTGACGAGCGGCAGACCATTTAACGCCGCCCCGGCTTAGTCAGCCCGCCTGACGGAGCGTGACGGGCGATGCTTTAAAACCTTCGTTATGCCAGCCGTTTCGATTTGTTTCTTTGCCTAGGATAAAGATTAAAGGGACCCACCCCTCCCCTCCCTCCCCCTCTGACTGACCCGGACCCGCCGTGTGACCCAGCCCCCTCTGACTGACCTGAACCCGCCGTGTCTCGCGCAGCCGGGCGGCAGCGGCGCCATGCACATGTCCACCGACGAGCTGACAATCGAGGTGCGGCCGCGCTCCTCCACGGCGCCGGCCGCCGCCGCCGGAGCCGGCGAGGACGACGACGCACTGTCAGTGAAGTCTGCCGGCTCTTCTGACCAGCGCAAACACAAGGTCACCTCGAGCACGGACGAGCAGCTGAGCAGGTGAGCAGGCGCGCCGGGTGTGCCGCGCGCCGTCGGAGGAGCCGCGCCCCGCCTGTCCGCGGCCCGGCTCCTCTGGTACCGCGCGGCGCCGGGCAGCGCGGCGGTCTTCCGGCTCTGTCATTAACTGGGCGATCGAGGTACCTTCCTGAAATATGTACTAAATACACACCCGCGGGTCTCCTGGTGGGGGCTTCCGACAGCTCGTAATGGATTAGTCTAACCCATTGTCATGCCTGACTTGGCGATTTATGACACCGTTCTTGAAGTTGGGGGATATTATGTGGCCGTTGTTGAAATCAGCTGAGGTTACGTGCCGGCTAAGTGAACGATTATTTATTTATGACGACTGGTCGTGGATGGGCTGTAACTGTTGCGTTTCTTGCTTCGTTTGAATTTAATGGGATTTAATCCATATCACTAACAGTTGTGTGAACGCACTTCCCATGATCAAAGTATTTCGAAGTAATTCATTATCAAATACCTATTCATATAGCCATCAAGTAACAGTACCACTCCTTCTGCGTCTATCCAAACACTTAACAACTGCTCCGGTCAACATAACAACTTGCCTGTTCGGCCACCTCCCAGAGCCCACAGGACGCCCCGGTGACGGCCTAACCCACACGAACACCGCACACGTCTTGCGCCGCTGTCTGTCCGCTGCACTGGGCCGGTGGGGCCGCGCGCGCTTACTAACGGTCCCCGTGCCGGCGCCGCTGCCGCCCGCGCACTGGCAGTTTCCCCTATTCCAGCTACCTGGCGCGTCTGAAGCGCGAGTACGAGGACAGCAGCGGCATGGACAGCGAGGAGCTGTCGGACCGCGAGTCCGAGTGCGAGGTCTCCTCCAGCCGCGGCGCGGCCGGCTCCGACGCCGCAGGTACGGACACGGGCGCTGGCATTGACGGGGAGCGATGGAGGGATGGGGTATCGGGAGGGGACAGATGGTCTGTATCCTGGATGCAGCTGTCAGCGATTGCGTCATATGTTTTATATATTCAAGAGAAAACGTCAAAGAGAAACGGGACTCGATAACCTACCTTGGCCTTAATCGATTTGAGTGCCAATTTACCGCTGGCTCGGCTAGCCCTCAGTGAGTTTCCCTTTTCTCACTACGCTGCCGCTGACTCCTCTTACTGTGAGCTACACCCGCATGTGTCTCACTAACTTACCGCGTCATCCGCCCCGCGCAGGTCTGACGCCGTCCAAACGCCGCCGGGTGGTGACTGACGAGCGCAAGCTGCGCGTGCCGCTGGACCGCGGCTGGCGGCGGGAGACCACCATCCGCAAAATCACCCAGGCGGGACCGCGCGGCGACGTCGTCTATTACGCGCCCTGCGGAAAGGCCTTCAGGCAGTTCCCCGACATACTGCGGGTGAGAGAACATACCGGCTGATGAAATAGTGGGAGAATGGTGATTGAGTTAAGAGAACAGGGGTGTCTGGTGGTATCTTAAGTTGATGCCGTAAAAGTGTTTGTAGCTCGACAATGGCTGTCCTTGTTCCTTGTTCCGTGTGTTGTCCAGTCCCGCTGTGTTACCTGTGTCGGTCACAATTTGTGACGTGTTCCCTCTGTCTGACTCCTTCAGTACCTGGAGCGGAACAACATCACGGACGTGACGAGGGACCACTTCACCTTCAGCAGCAAGGTCGTCATCGGCGACTACCTCAAGGTCAGCAGCCTGGGGCGTGCCGGGCGATTAGACCGGCCTGAACCGGCTTCAAGTCGAAAAAATAACGCGATTTTTGTGTAAACATTTTCCGGATAGCTATCATGTCATTGTGAAGCCCGTCAGGCTGTACAACACTACCAGTGCGCTAAGTCCTGTTGTACCGTGTCCCCGACTGCCGCTGCCCCCTTTCGTTACTCCTCTGACCTTCCGTCTCTGTCTATTTTCAGATCTCCGAGGACGGCGAGGAGTGCATCCCCATGTCGGAGGCCGAGGTCAAACGCCAGGTGGACGTGCTCAGCGGCGGCAAGAGCAAGCGACAGTTCAAGAAACCGTACGTCATCAACATCAAAAGGTGACGGGACTGGATAAGCTGTGGTTTTATAGGATTCCGTTATGTAATATTTCTAGGAAGGTGGTTGACTTTTTCATTCTGATTGGATGCGACATGTTGAGTACAAAGATACGGAGTCCATCCATCCTGTCATTATTCAGGGCATGTGTGCCTACCCAGTGGCTCAGTCCTGATCGGGTGTCCTTTATTTGGCTGGTGATGCCTGTGTGATCACTGACAAAGGCGGCGCGGCTATGTGTCTGTCTATGTGTTCCCTGTCTGACTGGTATCGGTCTGTGCTCACAGTGAGGAGGGCGGCGGCGGCGCGTCTGGCTCCGGCTCGGGCGCTGGACCGTCCGCCTCCAGCTACCACCAGGCCATGGAGCTGATGAGACAACTGGAGGAGGATAGACGCGCCAGGTGAGTGTCCCTGCCGAGCACTCACACCCTGCTCTTTACCGATGGCGATAGGATGAGAGGATCCGTTCGACCGGAAGGACGGGGTGTGCTAAAATCTGTTCTGATTATCTATGGGACTCGAGCTGTTGATTGCTATCGTGGCATGTCGAGTTGCTTAGTTGACGTTCGGAGGGTTTATAGCGGTAGGATGTTGAGGACAGTATGCGGTTTTGGTTGGTGTTAGGGGCAGTGTGTGATATTCGTGCATGTGTGGTCACAAACGTGGGAAGCATATCAATATGAGCGTTTCTTTACAGACAACTCAAAGAAGAGCAGAAGAAGAAGGAACGGGAGCTCAAAAACCTTCAGATGCTCGAGGTACTGAATTCATATTCCCCGCAATGGCGTTATATTGCGCAATACGCATACAGTTTTGTGTCCAAAGCGCACTATCAGATCATTTCGCTAATCACATGTCTGCTTCATTTGTGTAATTTGTGTAGTTCAGCAGTTCTCCGCAGTTCAGTGCTCCTTGTTGATGCAGTTGTAGTTGATGCTCTTCTCACCTTCACCAGACTGTCATGCCCGCCCCTCTGTTCCGTCACTATTCTCTCCTCTTGTCCACCCTACAACTTTCACACCGACTCCCCTGCCCACGCAACTTCCCCGCCGGCCTCCCCGTCCCGTCTAACGGGTGCCCGCTGCGTCCCAGGAGCGGCGCCGTAAACAGGAGGAGCTGGAGAAGCAGAAGGCGGCCGAGAACCTGCGCAAGGCACAGGTAAGTCCCCGTCCGTCCCCCCTCCCCGGTCAGCGGCAGCGCGTTCCCTGTGGCGCCCACCGTGTGTAGTGTGTGCCGTGTGCCGCGGTCCGGTCCGGTCAGCCGGCCGCCGCGGACTGAGGGGCAGTAGGGGCGTAGTGGCGCTCCGTAGTGCTGGGGCGGCGGGCCCACCGCCGGCCGCCGCCCGCCTAGCTGTGCAGACCGGGCCCGAACTAACGACGTTGTCTGTCTGTTTTCTAGGAGCTGAACAAACAGAGAGAGATGCTATATAGGCTAGAAGTGGTACGTTGACTATCCGGGTCTGTGGGGCGCTTGGCGGTGACTAACGCTGTGGCTATGGCTTCCGCTGTCGCATGCCCCCGGGGCGGGCGGCCGGCCGGTGTCGGGCCGCCGCCGGCGCGCTCTAGACGGGCTCCGTGCCTGCCCGGGGTCCTCAGGTCCTGCACCCGGTGACGCGCTTCCTGTAGATCGCCTTCATGACCTCGACTCTCGCCACCAGGGTGAAGCGGCTCACCTCTCCTGGGTGCCAGTTGCCTTGTTCGAAATAGTATTACTTCTTGCATTTGAGCTCATACTTCCTCAAATCAGTCAAACGCTATCCCGTCTTCTTGCAATGGTGGGGGCACCTAAGGGATTCAGAATAAGTTTACTTTTCAGGTGCCAACATAGTTTTTCTTCTTTTCATGAAGACTGTCAATTCCAAAGCCGCCTTAGTGTCCGCGTAGATGTCTGGTTCCTAGTTCCTACCTCCGCCTCTGTATTTGCTCCTGTTGGTCAGACTTCCCCATCGCTCAGCTACCCTTCAGCCTGGAGCCGTGGCCTGTGTTGAGCTCCTTGCCTGTCCACAGTCGTCCTGTCAATCCTGCCGCCGCTGCAGCCGAGACGTCCTCAGTTGCGTCCTCCTAGAAGCGCATGCCACCTCCGCTGGGTGATGCGGGCGGCCGCTCTGCCCTCTATGCCCTGTCCCCGGTCCGTCAGTCTGTCAGTATGTATATCTGTCTGCCTGTCGTGTCTGTGCCGCCTGTTCGCTTACCGGTGGGTGCCGCCAGGGTAACGTGCTGTCCGACCTGCTGCCGCCGGGGTCGCCTCGCATGCGCTCGGAACGCTCGGTCGCGCGGAATCGTCAGCCTAGCTATGAAACTGTACAGCTGTAGAATACATTACCGCCGTCCCCGGTTTTGTTTTGACTTTGAAAAGTAAATATCTGCTTTGTTGCGAAGTCCAAGCCTTGTCGCATTTTATTTCACAATCTCATTTCAAAGCGCGCTCGCTTTCTCGTAGAATTAAAACCAACGTAAATATTGTAAAAGCAACAAATTGACATCCCCCTAAAGCATATTGCCGCTTCATAAGTTGCTTTTCCCTCGGCCGATCTGCTTCCCTCCGTCGTGTGCCTGGTCCGTGACGCGGCGCGTGCGCGGCGGCCGGCAGGAGCGCGAGCGGCGGCGCCACCACATGCTGCTGGTGAAGGCGCTGGACGCCCGCCGGCGCCAGGAGGAGCGCGACCGGCGCCGTGAGGACATGAAGGTGGAGCGCGCCGCGCTCAAGGAGCGCCGCCGAGAGAAGCGGCTGCAGGACGCCGAGGTCATTCGGCAGCTGAAGAAACCGCGCGAGGACATGGCGCTCACCGGTGAGGAGCGGGGAAACGAGATTCAGGGCGGGAGGGCCGAAGGGGGGACGAGACTGGGAGCTGCAGCCTGTGAATCATTATGGTATGAAAACAAAGTGATAAATGCGTCCATTTGAGAGTAACCGAAATGTCATATTTTACCTGGCACAATGGTTTACATGAGTGTGAAATGGTTAGAACTCATTGAGTTTGATTAGTGTGTGTTCATGTTTTGTACATGGATTCGCACGCTGACCGCGCCCGGTCCTCGACCTGCAGATCAGAAGCCGCTGCCGGAGCTGGCGCGCATCCCGGGCCTGCGGCTGTCCGGCGAGGCGTTCGCCAACACCCTGATGGTATTCGAGTTCCTGCACAACTTTGGCGAGACGCTCGGCTTCGACATGGAGTCGCTGCCGTCGCTGGGCGCGCTGCAGCAGGGCCTGCTGAACGAGCCGGACCACGAGGAGGAGCTGCTCTCGGTGCTGACGCACCTGGTGGTGTGCGCCGTGGAGGACCCGGGCATCCCGCACCCGGTCCGGCACGTCACCTGCCTCAACCAGACGCTCCGGCAGGCGGACATCACGCACACGGCCCTATCAGAGGTGCTCCGTATCTACATGTTCGCCTGCGCGTCCGGCGAGGTGAAGACGCTGACGGGCCTGTGTCCGAACCAGCGCGACCCGCACTGCCGCGCCAAGAACGCCGACTTCCAGGACGCCATGGACGCCAACCGCACGTACCAGATGTCGCAGTGGCTGACGGAGAAGCCGTACCTGGCGCTCAACCCCACCGAGAAGACGGAGATCCTGGCGCACCTCTGCAATGACCTGCTGCAGAACAAGGCCGTCCTCCGACAGGTCGGTGGTGCGGGCGGGAGGGGTGCAGGGGCGGGTGGTGTGGGTGCCGCACCTCTGCAATGACCTGCTGCAGAACAAGGCCGTCCTCCGGCAGGTCGGTGGTGCGGGCGGTGTGGGGTGCCGGGAGTGGTGTGTGTGTGTGGGGGGGGGGACTGGGAAGGGGGGGTGCTTGGTAACGGGGAGTCTGGGGACGATTTATGGTTACAGTCGCCACAGTTTCGTTGCACCGTGTGGCTTTTTAGTCTGAAACAATTTGCAGGAACATGTTTCCACGCTAGTTACGTCATGCATTATCGAATAGCACTATGATGGTCGCAGTTAAACGGTTATGAGGCCATAAAATGTCTAGGATTCGTATTGCATCAATAATTTATCATCTTGCTAATGACATAATTCCCTCGGCCTGTTTGCGGCTATGATTTTGAATCCTGACCGAGTTATAGCTCAGTTCTGACGGCACCCCCTCCCCGGCCGGCAGATTGACAGCACCATAGAGGTGGTGAACACCAAGCGGAAGGAGAAGTGGAACCTGGACGGCCGGCTGCGACGGATGCGGATGCTGCACGCCAAGAAGTTCGCGCAGCGCCACCTGGTGAGCCGGCCGCCGCCGCCCGAGGCCAGTGAGAACTGTGACACGGGCGACACGACGCGACTCAGCGAGCCGGCCTCCAAGAAGGAGGAGGGGGAGGAGCACAAGGAAGAGGACGAGGAGGAGGAGGAGAAGGACGAGAGCGGCAACGAGAGCGAGCCCGCCGACGAGGGAGACATCAACGTGAGTACAGGGCGTCTGTGGGGAGGGAGCGGGATGGGTGGGCGGCCAGCTGCTGAGAAACGTCACGGGTGCCACAACGTAGGGCGCTTCTTGTAATTTGTATACTTTTCTGGTAATACTCTTGTCAGGTGTAATGACAAGTTTCTCTGCAGGACGAGGTGGACATCAACTCAATGAGCGCCGAGGAGCTGCACAAGCGGATCGAGCAGCTGAGCAACCACAACAACCAGCTGAGCCGCGACATCTACGAGGGTAACCGGACGATCCGTCCGACCAGCCTGGGCCAGGACCGGTTCCACCGCGCCTACTGGGTGCTGCCGCGCGCCGGCGGCATCTACGTGGAGAGTCTGGAGAGCGGTGTGGGCGCCGACGAGCGGTACGACCAGCGGCGCGCCTCGCACCAGGAGTGGCTCCGGCGCCGCGAGGCCGAGAAGGCCGGCCAGGTGGGTGAGAAGCGGCCGGCCGACTCACCCGACTCCCGCAACAGCAAGCGGCCGCGCGTGGCGGAGACGGCGGTGGGCGAGGGGACGCCGGTGAAGGCGGAGGTGGCGGAGCAGCGGCTGCCGAACGGTGACGCCACCGCGCCGGCGGCGGCTGAGAACGGTCTGTCGGGCGGCGAGTCGCCGCGGGTGAACGGCGGCTCACCGCCGGCCGACGGAGCGCCCGTCAAGATGGAGACGGACGTGAAGGCGGAGACGCCGGCCGACGCGCCGCTGAAGGTGGAGAAGCAGGAGCCGCCGTCGATTAGCGCCGACACCCCGCTGAAGGCGGCCTCCCCGGCGCCGGTGAAGGTCGAGCCTGCAGCGGAGGAGGGCGCCGTGAAGTCAGAGCCCCTCTCCGCGGTCAAACCGGACCCGGCGGCACCGGCGGCGGGCGAACCCTCCGTCCAGGACAGTCTGAGCGCCATCAAACAGCTGGCTGAGAACCCGGTGGCCGCCGCCGCGCCGGCCGCCCCCAAACCGTCCACGGCGCCCAGCCACGCCGCGCCGCTCAACAGCAAACACCTGGTGAGCTACCTGAACGCCTCGCTGGCCTCGCTGGGCGCGAGCGGCGCGCTGAAGGAGGTGAACGGCGCCATCCAGATCCCGGGCCTGGGCCTGGTGCCGTCCCAGTACCTGCTGCAGGCGCTGCAGGCGCCCGAGAAGCTGTGGTTCAGCGTGCTGCCCAAGGACCCGTGCGACTTCAGCACCATAACAGAGCTGTCGGACGACGAGCAGGAGTCGGTGACGGAGCGGGGCGGCGCGCGCGCCGGCAGTGGCGACCAGCTCAACACCGAACAGGAGGACAACGGCGAGGACGAGGCGCAGGAGGTGCCGCAGGGTGAGTCAGCGGGGTCGACCGGGGACGGGGAGGAACAGTCTGGGGGAGCATGGATGAGTGGAGGAGGGATTGTGCCGCGCACTGTTTCTTTGCGCCAGAAATAATACATTCAGGTATTTGTTTCGCTCGCCCTCCTTTCATTAGACGCGTCTTGTCACGTTGATTGTGTGTTTATCTTGCCTGTCCGGCCGTGTCCGCTGTACCGGAGCGATGCTGACTGACCATCCCCGTCCTTCCTCCCGTCAGAGTACAAGCGTGGCTGGTGGCGCGTCTCAGACACCGCCCAGATCGACCAGCTGGTCAACGCCATGCACAACCGCGGCATCCGCGAGCGGCCGCTCAAAAACAAAATACTCACCTGCAAGGACACGGTGGTGGAAGCCTGCGAGCTGGTAAGTGCACCAGACGTTCCCGTGCTGGCTGTGGAGGCAGTGTGTTCGCTGTCCAGGAATGTCTTCAATGAAACTGGCGCTGACGGCAGCGACAATCGACACGGATAATCTGCCATTGGCTCGGTCGCATGTCATGTCGTACTGTTCCGACGTGTCCTGGCCCGGTGCAAGTGACTCGTTTTTACTGGCTATGCCTAGTACGAACACTCGATAACCGATGTTTTCCCGCGGTTGTAGCGAACCGAGAAAAATCGAATCGTAGTAAGTTGACCGATGAACCGGGAACTAGACCAGCTTCACTGTATGGCTGTTACGAAAGCTATTTTCCTCCTGTTTTTGTCTTTGTTTTTGGGCACGAACACGGAAAAGCTCACGATGCCGCATGCATTGCCATCCACGCAATATCGCCGGACATGTTATACATAATTTCGTTTTCGCAGTGTTCTTAATTAGTTTGTGGTATGTTATTCCGCTACCATAGATTGCTTTTGCATGATTTCATCAAATATGTCTCGGAGCATTAAACATACGCCCGTAATTTTGTTGCTCTTTTCTGTAGTTTTATGCCCATGAATGCCTTGGCATGTTGATTTCACCAGCAAAATTTTAAAGCAAAATGTTTTATATGTAATATTATATTCTTCCATCAAAATTTACTCCTATCGAGATCTAAACCACAGGGTGCAGACTAAAACGAAGTGGCTGAACAAGGTCCATAAACAGAGTAATTGGGAACAGACCGCTAGCCAGCGTTTGTCGTTCACCGAGTGCGGCGCCCACAGGTGAACCCTGCCGAGGTCACGCTGTCCTCGGGAGCCGCGGCGGCCGCCGAGGAGTCCGAGGACGAGTCAGAGGAGGACGGGGAACAGGAGCAGGAGACGGCGCCAGAGGACAACGGCCAGGCAGAGACAGAACAGAAGGACGGAGACGGAGACGGGGAGGAGAAGGAGGCGAAGAGCAACGGCGAGAAGAAGCAAGAGAAGCCCAAAGAGAAGGCGAAGTCGCCGAAGAAGAAGTCCAAGAAGCGCGTGCGTCCGGCGGAGCCGGTGCCGGAGCCGGACGCGCCGGGCTCGTACCGGCGGGACGTGGCCATCACCATCGAGATGTCGCTGCTCGAACACGTAGAGAACCTCGAGGAGCGCATCGCACAGGCCAGCATGCAGTTCAAGGTGGGTGGCAGGGCGCGTCGGGCCCCGACTTACATGCAGGATTGTAGTGCACCGCTCTCATGGAAGTGTGTTAGCTAGATTGATTTTGAAGATCAGTGACAAACAAAAGATACAATATGCAGTTTCGATGTTTCTTCAGTTGTTTCCACAGTTTTCACAAGCATATGCCTGATTTTGTGACAATGCTCTGCCAGCTTCATTATGTCCATCTCAGTGTGTATCCCCGCTAACCCGCCGTTCTCTCCTGCCACAGTCGTGGCGCCTGCCGCCGCGTACCTCTGGCGACCGGGAGCTGTTCGCGCCGTCCTGCGAGCCGCAGGAGGGCCGCCTGAACGCCGTCACCCTGGCGCGCGACCGGCTCATCGACCTCGAGCAGAACATCGAGCGGCGCTACCTGAAGCCGCCGCTGGGCACCTCCAAGGGCGCCGACCTGAGCCTCTCCAACCTGGGCACCGAGGAGAACAACACCATCCCGCGGCCGCTGCTGGTGTGGCGCGACGCGCTGCCGCGCACATCCACCGCCGCCCAGGTCTCCATGTGTCTGTACGCGCTGGAGATGTCGGTCGCCTGGGACAAGTCCATCATGAAGGCGGTGAGTCGGGGGCAGAGAGAGCCGACGGGGTGGTCGGCGAGCCGCCGCTCTAACGCTTCCTCACACATTGCCTGCTTATTAAACCGGTGGTGTTGCTGTATATTAATTTGGTTCACTGGCTTATTTCGGTGTTAATTTTTGTTTATATTATTTTTCTACCGCACTAATGCAGAGCGATCTGGCTGCGTCACCTAAATTTGTTCGCGCTTTTCTCTCGCTCACTACCAGCACCGGTTGCATGCAGCGCCTATAATAGATTTATGTTCTAACTGGTCGGATGTTGTTTCTGTTGCTTCATTAATCGTTCTCGCTGGTCTCCGCTCTGTTTTATGTTGGGCGCTCGGGACTCTGCGGCTGCCTGTGTGCCCGGGCGCTCTCCCAGTGTTCAACTGTGTGTGCCTGTGGACGCGTGCGTTGACCGTGGCTCTGACGGGCCGTTCCGTCAGCAGAACTGTCAATTCTGCACGAGCGGCGACCACGAGGAGAAGCTGCTGCTCTGCGACGGCTGTGACAAGGGCTACCACACGTACTGCTTCAAGCCGGCCATGGACACCATACCAGACGGAGACTGGTCAGTGCCGGCGCCGGGGTGGGGGAGGGCGCTGGTCAGGATCAGGGGTGCAGTACTACACATGGCGGAAATTATGCTTCAATAAGCCAATAGATCAAACGCTCGATCAAACGCGATCAAACGTTTAATTTGTAGCTTGAATTGCATCGTATTAACTATAGTTATTTCTTATGACAAGTGGAAAATTATGTTGAGTTGCGACATTCCATATCCTATCCGAATATACCTGATTTCCCCGTCCCTCGCGCAGGTACTGTTTCGAGTGCGTCAACAAGGCGACTGGCGAACGGGCGTGCGTGGTCTGTGGCAAGGGCGAGGGCAAGGTGCTGCTGTGTGAGGGCTGCCCGCGCGCCTTCCACCCAGAGTGCGTCACTCCGCCCGTGGCCAAGGTAAGGACGGACAGCTGGCGGGGTGGGGACACACGGCTGATCTGACCGGGCAGGGATGACGGCTGAACTGGCCTGCTGCCAGTTACTGCCAGTTGACTAGACGGAAGCGGAACACGGTGTGTCAGTCTTGGCACCGCAGTGTGTGTTTGAGGGGGGGGGGAGGGTCGTGCCGGACACACTCACACGTCAGCTGCAGCACGACTGTGGTCGGTCAATGGTGGACGCGCACTGCATACGCTGGTGAAATAAGCGGTGTCTAAAATGTGGCCAAGGGTATAGCTTCTGCCAGGGTCCCGATTTAACAGTCACGTTACACCATTTTCCTTCACGCATTTACCGGTTAAAAATAATCCAGGATGTCATGCAGCCGGCAGCCTATTCACTAACGGCCCCGCGCCTGCCTCTGCTGACTGCCCGCTCGACTGACCCGGTCGCCGCCGCCCTCTTCAGGTCCCGCGCGGCAAGTGGCACTGCCCGGCCTGCGCGCACAAGAGCCCGAAGAAGTCGCGCTCGAAGAAGGCCAAGCCGCCGCCGGAGCCGTCCGAGGCTGGCGGCGACGGTCCGGCTGAGGAGCGCGAGTCGCCGCCAAAGAAGGAGCGGGGCAACAAAAAGGTAACGCTCTCAGCAGCGCTGGTGGTCAGCCATCAGTCGTAGAAGCGTACAGAGCCGTTAGGAAAGGATAGTCTGTCATGGGATGTGGTCAAAATCATGGCATCAACTTACTGTGTTACGGGAATGTCATCCATGCTCGGAAGTGGTTGAGTTTTTCTCTAGTATTAGGCATTTAATGTTGACATGAGTCATTTTTACTCCCTCAATATCCTAGTTCATGTGCAGTTATTTTAGCTTAATGTCGCCGATCCAGCTCGGCTTTGAGAGTGCCTGATGCAACGCGGTCCAAATCACGTATAGTTTCCTGATTAGATCGGCCCGGCGCGGCGGTTAGGTGACTGGCGGAACTGATGTAACCCCTCTCTGTTCCTCGCCCGCCGGACTGCTTCGTGACTGCACTACGGGAAACTGGCGTGGCGGCGGGTCGCGCTCGTGATAATGGTCTCAACGACCCTATGAGACATTGTTGAGGTTTCTGATGTCTGGGCTGGCCTTCGGCCGCGTGTCTGACCGCCTCGGACCCTCGGTTTGTGTTCACGCAGTGGCCGTGTGTCTGGCCGCATATTCTGACCCTCACTGTGTGTTTTACTCAGTTGGCCAAGGAGATGGCGATGTGCCGGACGGTGCTCGCCGAGCTGGAGGCCCACGACGAGGCGTGGCCCTTCCTACTGCCAGTCAACACCAAACAGTTTCCCACCTACAAGAAAATCATCAAGAGCCCTATGGATCTCAGCACGATAAAGAAACGAATCAACGAAGGAGTGTGAGTATTCTTATCAGACTGAAACGCAATTATCAATGCATATTGTGACTAGTTCATGCACGGTATCAATGTTGTTGACCCCCGTGGCCTGACCTTTGACCTGTGCGCGGCGGCAGGTACAAGAGCAAGGACGAGTTTACCGCCGATATGCGCATCATCTTCAACAACTGCGAGACGTTCAACGAGGACGACTCGCCGGTCGGAAAGGCCGGCCACAGCATGCGCACGCTGTTCGAGGCGCGCTGGCTCGAGCTCAACCCCCAGTAGAGGCGGCGCCCCGGCCGGCCCCACCCCCCACCCCCGGGCCGGGCCCGGGCCGCCACCGAGCCCATCTAGGTCTTTCGCAGTTTGATCATAGTCGTGTACAAATCCATGCTAGATTAGGCATAATGATGCCGGTTACCGCGGGGTCGGTACGCGCGCGAGAGATCAGGTATTTTGTAGTAGTCGTTTTTACTCGGATTGGTGCGCGGCTGACGCGCCGCCGCGGCCGCCCGCCCGGCCAGGCCAGACGCCAATGCAGCTACTCGACTTCACAATTCATCGGTTATTTATTTTTCGTAACATTTCACTGCTCTCCTACAAAGAGTCCGTCATGTGTGCGCGCGGCGCGACCCGCTCGGCGCGTCGGTGTACATAGTTGTTTGTGTAACCAATGTGCCTGGCTGTCCAGAACGTTTGTGGCTCGCGCAGAGCGCGCGCGCGCGCGTCGCAGGTCCCTAGCCGAGGAGGGGGCTGATCGTGACGCTCCCGTAACTTGTTGTGTGAATATGACTGTGTCCATGTGTATCATGTCGATGGCACTCAATTATCCTGAATATATTTCCCAGTTTCTTGCGGCTGTGTTGGGGCGCGGATGGAAGGCACGCGGGGTTGTGGGACAGTCGTCGGGAACGACAAATAGGGTGGAATAGATGTCTGATGAGGCACAGAAATTGGTAGTGACGCAGCACGTCAGATCAGGGCAGTTGAAAAAAGACACGACCACTCAGTGTCTTGGTATGTATTTTATTACGTATTCTCGCATCTACATGTCATTTCTCGCTACGTCAGGTTGCACATGCCGAGGGGCAATGGACATTTGATATACCGGCGACTTCACATCGTATGGACCTCATTTCGGGGTCTACAGTCTCAAATGAAAAAGCCACGCGCTTTGATACAAAGAAGTATAAACTAATCGACTTCAAGCAGGCAACAAATCAACAAATCTGCATTGATTAGGATCTGAGACGTAGGTACGCGTCTGTCATTGGTGTCACGGCGGCCGTTGGACCGCGCGGGACTCCCGGGTCACCGCTCGCTGACCGACCCTCGGGTCGCCGCGGTCTCCAGTCGGCGCCTGACATAAGAGGCGGCAGTGCAGCCGGGCCAACCGGCCCATTTGGTCCCGCTGCCCGATGCCCGTTTTAAACTCAGTTTCCTCAGACGGACCGGACCACGCGACACTCGCTGTAACCGCTAACTCAACTCAGCAACACAAACAAACTCATGGCACTCCGTCTACCGCGGCTGGGGCGCGGACTAACTCACACACCTGTAGAAAATACCTTCGCCACCTGTCCGTCGACTCTCCTTTGTCCACTCCGCAGCTGTCCACGACCACAGTTGTCCACCGCCACTGCTGATAAGAAACTAACAAGGGCCGGCTCGGAGCAGGGCACGTCACAGACTTCTGACGCAAGAGCCACTATATATGAACCTGTGTGAAGTTTTCACATTGCGCGCTCAGTCAGTAACTAACAAAGAAATTCATCCGCTCGAAGTCGAGACCTATAGTATAGGGGCCGGGTCATTTACGCTGCACTCATTCAAAACACTGCCCAATCACGCGATAGAATCGACATACGGCGGGACCAGGCAATCAGGGATAATTGAGCCACTACACCTGACCGCATCGCGGTCCCACGGCCTTCCAGGAATTGAGCTGGAGACGACCCGCGTCTCCGCTCCCGCACCGATCTCCGGTATCCGTCTGTTTGTCCTGCAAGTATACACGGCCCGATCGGCCGCTGCGGGATCTCGCGGTCAGTAAGAATTACAAATCGTCGGCCCGGGACCGGTCGGCGCCTGTCCAGACAGCTATACCGAGCTGACATTTTCAGAGGCGAGACTGCCGAGCGGGCCGGCCCAGACGGCAGAGCTCTGGTCGCGCACGGGAGAGCGCAGGGTAAAACGGACGCCCTGCGCGGCCGAGCAGTTACCGGTCATCTTTAGCTCACCGGGTGTGGGAAGATCTCCCGGTAGTAGCGCGGGATAGCAGCTCCGATCTGCGGTGTCCAGTCTGCTGTTTGCGTCCGTTCCCCGCCCGGTCCCGACTCGTACCCGGTCGGCCGGCGGCTCTGACGGCGGCGGCGGAGGCAGCTATCGGCTCTCGCGCTCGGCACAGGCCGCCTGCGGTACCATGGCGCCCGCCTTGGACTTGGCCAGCTCGGTGGCCTTTTTGGCCGTCTCCCGCAGCCTGCGGTGGGAGGGACAGCGTCAGGTCGGGGCGACCGTCAGTCGTCAAAAGTTATAGCGATACGCGAGACTGGGTGTCTTTTTCGTTTATTTTACTTATTGCGAAAGGAATCAACCAGGCAGCAAGCCCAATTTATAGGCACAGTCATGCAGTTGGAACGATCATTAATAAATTAATAGTCATTATATTTATATTATTATTGATATAATGATAATGATATAAATCATTATAATGACTATTAATATCATTATATTAATAGTCATTATATCGTCATTATTGAGCGTCATTACAAGACAATATGAAATTGCATATTCAGACCGGAGATACTGACTAGCAACATCGCGCCTAGAGACAAATGTAACTGAAATAAGCAACGCACTCCCAAAAAAGTGCAGGCACCAATACGACCACGCACCTCTCCTTCCGCGCGTCCATGGCGGAGACGGCCTCCGTGACGGGCAGCCCGGCGTTCTGCTGCGGGAACATCTTGGCAAGGACGTGGTTGAACCCGAGCACCGTGTTGTTCAGGTTCTTCTTGAACCGCTCCACGCCGAATGCCTGAAAAAATGAGCCCAGTAGGCTAGTAAGCACTACACAAGCACGAGAACACGTATTAGGTGCTGTCTGCTGAGCTTGTAATCAAGTTGGAAACAATAATTGCGACTTTCGTTGTGGTTCGGGGTTCGGGTGTAAGAACATCGCTCAGGCTTGCCATTACTGAACACCACAATGAAGCCACATGACCAATGTTGACTGTTGAGCGATCGAATTCCATTGGATTGATCGCCCGGGTGCAGCGTTGTTCGGTCAACCAGCCATCGAACCGACAGGGTTGCTGCACCCGAGCTGTCTGGCGCTCCAGCGTTGATGCAAGAGCGGGTCGCCGGTGACAGCGGACATTCACGGTACACGGCCGACCAGGACATTACCGGAGACAAAGCGCTGATGATACTTCCACTAGCGGCGTAACCCCGACCTCGCCGCGCCGTCTTCCCATCCTGAATCATCCCCTAAGCTCTCTCATGTCTTTCCCCGCCGCTCTCCTCACCTGGATGGCGTACCCGAAGCCGAAGACGCGCGATCCGACCCAGGCGCAGCGCCGCACCAGCGTCTTGTGCTGCGGGTCGTCCGGGTGCGGTACGTACTCGACCCGCTCGGTGACCTCCATCAGGTGGGTGTGCGCCAGGTTCCGGGTCAGGGTGACCATGGAGTGGCGGGCCGGCTCGCAGGCCGACTCCTCCAGCACAGCCACCGTGCGCGCCGACAGGAACCGCTCGCCCCACTTGGGCATCCGGTTCGTCTTTGTGACGATACGCTTGGAGCGCAGGCAGCCGCCCTCGAGCCGGCGAGCCACCGTGTCCTCGGTGAGCACGTGAGAGCTGGGGGCAGAGGGGAGGGGAGGGAGTGAGGAAGGACCAGCGGGAGTTGGGCGGCGGGTATGTTTGCCCAGCTGCTCAAACTGTGCACCGAGACGGGGTGCAAGGGCAGAACTCCGGGCAGGCGGCCAAGTCGGAAACTGCAAGATTTGCTGAGCCTTGGTACGCATTGCTGAGTCAGTACTTCTCCCCACCACGAGGGACGATGGAAAGTGAACACAGGAACACGTTATTCACGATTCTACGATTCCCAAAAGAAATATGACTTTGGTATTCATCTTGCTGAAGGCGTTTTGTACACATGAAACCAAAAATTGTATATACCAAACAGTGTACCATCCAAGCGCACAGTTGACAGTGTATATTCAGTCTGGACCACTCTACCATACGGGTAACCTCGCTCGATATGAGCAGGATGCGAGTCACACCGCCCAGTGCTACAGTCTTCCCCGTCTGTACGTACCTGTGCGGGTTGGGGTAGCGCTCCCAGAACGCCTGCACCACCTGGTCCCACGGGTGGTTGAAGGTGGCAGACTGTTCACAGTAGCGCACCATGATCTGAGGAGCAGAGGCGCCAGTTACACACACTGCGTGCTGCAGCGATACATACAGCGACACAGCCATACATCAACTCTGGGATGAGGTGGAGCGTCGGTTACAGACTGCGTAATACATCGATACATTGCTCAACACTGAGCTGAACTGAAGCGTTTGTCAGTTACATTAAATGCACAATAAAACGATAAAATTCATTAGCGAAGAGAACACTTCCGGGAATAAACGACAAGGACGTTCACTAAAGCATAGCAAATGGTCGCAATAATGGAGAGAATCGTTAAAGGGACTATCCCACCTTTAACATGGGGTTTGAGTTGAGATAGCCAAGTTTGCGGCGAGGTTCAGAAACCACTATCTATCTAGGTTGCAACCCCCGCGGCCTCTTGGTGTTGAAGAAATTCGTTCCCTTCATTTGAAAATGGGCCTTGTACAAGGCCCTATCTTCAACATGGAGCGACCGTTAGTGTGACGTCACCTCGTTTAGTCATTCTGATTTAAATGGGTTTGTTCGTTGAAAAATCGCTTAAAACTTAGTCTGAACTTTGTTGTGGTGCCTACAGAGTAAAAAGAATCAGCTTTTTGACAGTAATGTGGCCTGGGGAAGGAGATAATTTTGGGCTGTGACGTCACATATTTGAAAGTTTGTGTTTGGAATATGGGAAGCCTAAGATGTTTAATGAAAAATAAATGCCAGAACCGTGTTCCTGGTCATCCAATCTATAAAGTCGGGCACAATTTAACTGGTTTTAACAACATTTTAGAAGGTGGGATAGTCCCTTTAAGAGCTCGAAGATACGATAACATGTTGGTGAGACATACCGCGCTAGCTGCCAGAAGCGGTGAAATGACTGAAGACTTGGACCACAGCGCAGCCAATAAACCTTATATCCTGCGGTGAAGCCTTAAACAAAGGCTGCTTCAGTCTATCCCATTCATAAAAGTCAGCATGTAAAGAGCCGGTAAAGTGAGACTCAGCATTACAGAATCGATGTCTTAAGCAGGCCGATCTCTTTGCTGACATGCGTTCACATCGACAGGGCGCTGCAGATACACATGTTCTTAGCTGACGTTGATTAGCTCAGACAGCCCATCTCATCAGCCAACCTAATTCACCACTTCAATGTCTTATGTCGCTAATCGCTGCCCTATATATGACGGGCTGAGGGAACTGGCCGCCCCCGTCTCTAGCGCTGACGGGCTGCAGCGTGCCCCAATCTCACCCAGCCGCCGCGCCGCCACCCAAACCATACCGCCGCCACGTCCGGGTGGGACCCGACGCGGGTGACGCAATCGCTCTGAGCAACGGTACAGAGCAGCCCCCCCCCCCCCCCCTCGCCGGTCCCTGGCGCAATCTGCAGCCGCCGGTCCGGGGGTCGGCGGCCGACCGCCCAGCTGATAGCACGGCCAGGAGTGGAGGCGGAGGATCGGCGGGTGGCTACGGTGGGTTGCCAATGATGGACCTACGACACCGGACTGGATGACGGGTACGCCATTCTTCATTATCAATAACCATCCAACCGGGCCCGACGATCGACGAAGCCAGCACATGATGGGAGGGGATATCCATTTTCGCCGGTGAACGACAGCGCCATGAGTAATGGGCCGCAGCTGATATTAGCATTCATGAACATGTCTATAGTTTAACGACTTTTTCGTTGATTTTTTTAAGCCACTATCAATATCGCCCGTTTTTTAATCCACTATCAATATCGCCCGTTTTTTAAGCCACTATCAATATCGCCCGAAGTCAGTGGGCTCAAATTTACGCATCTTTCACACTTGATTACCAGTTTCTTGCCCATACTGATGAAAAAAAAAAACAACAGAAAGACAAAGTACATCGGCTACGCCAATCGTTATAGGTCAGCTTACAAAGTGGTATATTGCAAGCAGTTATCGCCATATTGACACTGGAGTGATGCCGTGCAAGGTCTCAGCGTCCCTGACAAATGGAAAGATGATTCATCTCACTGATCATGTTAGCACTTGCAGCTGGCAAAGTGGGTTAATCAAAGGCTGATCTAGCACTACACAGCTGCTTTGTTAAAACTCCAACCTGCACAACACCTTCAGTTATATATGTCCCTTGTCAAAGATCAAACTGGAAGGTCAGGATTTCACCAGCGTGTCATGGCCTTGGTTAAGCCTATCTTGACTGGAAAAAGGCAATATGTGGTTCTAAAGGAGCATGTTCACTATTCAGACACATAATGTACCCTGTTAGACAAAACCATGGCTCCAGTGTTCTGCATCCTCAAAATACCAGCAACCATCTGGTCTTATATAGTCAATACTCAAAAGTGCCCCTCCAAAATCAAAAGGCATATGACCAAAAGTTGGTTAGGAGAGTTAAAAAAGAGAAACATGGTGAACCAACCTTCAAAGGACTAGTAAGAAACCATGCAATAGGAGCATAGGTATGTTATGCAAGCAATTTTGCTAGCTGTAATGTAACTTTTAAGTTCTATATCTTAAGTTCTGGTACAGAAGAGGAAGGTACAGGAAAAAATCACTTCTTGATTGATGATTGATTTCAAACAAATGAATTTCAGGAATAAACAAATGAATTTCAAGAACAAACAAATGAATTTCAGGAGCATATGTGGGGATTACTAGTGCAAACATCACACAAAGGTTTTCCAACCAAGGAAAGGTGTTGTAGGCTTGTAGGTTGTAGGTTAGATCAGGTGAGGTTGGGTTAGGTTTGTTTTCATTTGGTTTGTTTGGAAAGAAGCATCTCTGGGTAAAGTGCCTCTCCTTGATTGGAAAACCTTTGTGTGCTGTCTCCAACACAGACTGAGCTATGCTTGACCTCAGGAGCTCGCAAAGATTGGGTTCCACAGGCCTCACAGCTTAAAAAACCCTGTTATCGTAAGGTGAGGTAAGGTAATTGTGACACCTGAACCCATATGTGCCTAACTGGCTAAAATTGTAAAAATAAAAATAATATCTCTCATGAAAACATTTTGGTATTAGTAAGCCTGGCGTCCCATGAAGATGCCAGATCAACGGTTGAGAAATTCCCTAGATACGTTGCAATCAGGTAAGTTCATGGAGGTCACAGACAGTAACACAAGAATTGTATATATATGCTAGTTGCTAACTACAACTTCACCAGTTGTACGATTCCTGAACATAAAGCATCAAGCATGTTTTTCATAGGAAAGGCTTGAAGAGGCAAGCAACATTCAACAAAACCAAAACAACGCAGAGGAAAAATGGGCGCTTTCCGTGACATGACATTCAATTCACATTTCCAGCTAAAACATTCATTCTTATGCAATAGCAATATTTGTAGTCAGTAGAGGTACTTACATTTGAGGCTGGACAAAGCCGGAAAACGAAAAATAACCGCAGAGAACTCCGCACGCCCCCACCGACGTCCGCCGAAAGAAATCGAAAATATCATGCGGTCATGCGGTGTTCTACTCTCTCACGCCACGCGCAGTATGTTCTGGAGCTGATGCGTATGACTACCAAGAGCTGCTTATGCAGAATTGCTCGAATGAAACGACGCCTATTCAATAATCCCTATACGGTCGTCAAGTTAGATGTAAGTGAATCCTAATCTATAATCTAAGATTCGGAATCAGGTGAGCCCCTACGATTTGGACCAAACTTGGTCAGTGGATAGTACGTAACGTCCTGATTACGATGCACCCAAAATCTAAGCTCGGCCCGCCATATTTACGAAGTTACGGATGTTTGAATTTCAAGGTCATTCGGGAGAGCCCCTACGATTTCCGTCAAAATTTGTGTACGGACACTCTAGGTGCTCCTCATTACGAATATCACAAAATTTAAGCTCGGCCCGCCATATTTACGAAGTTATGGATGTTTCAATTTCAAGGTCATTTGGGTGAGCCCCTGCGATTTCCGTCAAAATTCGCAAAATATTATCTTTGTAGGCCTATGAAACAAATATTGAACATATTTCTCTTTTTGATTCATATCCTGCGCTTTTGTTACAATGCCTCACGATTTTTTTCAGTAATAAATATTTATAATTTAAACTCAGTGACCAAGTTCAAGTTTTAGTCAAGTAAGGGCATACGGCCCATTATTTTTATTTTGTAGGCGTACGACAATCCTATCATTATTTGGGATGGTTGGGTGTGGTGCTGTTTTGATATTCAGATTTATTCATTTGATATCAATATTCAACGTATACTGACAAGTGACATCATGGATAAAGGGTGACATATATGTTAGGCATTTACACCAGCCCTGAGCCCACCATATTGTATTGAATGTTGATGTGCTGTGCTGGAGCACTGAAAGTGCATTTATCGGGCCTTAAAGGTAGACTGCCACCTTTTTTCCACAAAACGGTTTTCACTAGAGCTGAGCCACCTATGTCCCAGACTGAAGTCGGTTTTCCGAAATTCGAACCCGTTTGCGAGAAATCGGAGCCCACAGTTCAGTTTGATGCCATTTTTTTAGTCCAAGAAAACCGACATCTCTACTGTTTATCGATAACTTTGAAACATGAATTTTCTTGTCTTTTGGTAAATATATGTCAAAACTTTGATTGTTTCGAGATCAGAGAAGAATTTTGGAGAGTCAAAATAAAAGTTAAACTTATATATTCAGTAGTTCATTTTTCCAAAAAAGTGTGGGAAATGGGGTTTAACATGGGCCAGACCCATTCCAAATGAGCCATGATTTTTAAATGTTTTTACGAACTTAAATGCAAAATAAATTATACATGGCCAATTTCTTATGAAATCATATATTAGTAAATCATAAAATACCTTACTTTTTCAAATAAAATGTAATAATCTTATGACCTTGAAGTCTAGTGATGTGTAAACATTGTCGCTAGACATTAACCGATTGATAATTGTATGATAATCGACAATTTTTTTTCGCGATTCACGTGATGATACTTTGTCAGGTGAATTCTAAAATTTTGTTTTGTCCAGGGAATAAATCATAGGCCGATCTGAGAAAACTTTTTGAAGGTGGCAGTCTTCCTTTAACAACTGGATGCAATCGGCTGGCTCAGGCTGGGCCCAACTGGGCCCAACTGGGCTGGTCAGCTGGCGACGTACGATAGCCAGTAATATATAGGTGTTAATACTGTTGTATATGGACATAAACATGTAAAATGGCACTAATAGAAAAATTAATAAATAGATATTTCATTTATTATTGATTATTATTATTGATTATTGATATGGCCTTGAGCCTTTTATATCCAGCATTGATATTTTACGAGGTCTGCTCCGTCTGCTAGCGCCACCATATGGCGCTAGCTGGCAACTAATCAAGTTAATAGTACGGGCCCACTTGCACTGCACTCTATAATGACTGTGCCCCATTTATCTCTGTTCGACAGTGTATATAATCCTGCTTATTTATTTATTCTGATGTCATTTTGCCATGTTTCAGGTTGTTTGGAAGTGAAAAACTCATTTTGCAGCAGAGCTGGTGCCAGACAGCTCACAGCTTTAAGATAAATGTTGTTGCCCATTCCCACCTCACTTGTCAGCTATGCCCAGTGCAGGGCACTGCATACCAGTGCTAGCCTGCTTGGAAAGAGGAATTTCAGGAAGTTTCTGCTTGGACCCAAGGCAGGAACTCTTGCCTTTAAGAATGAGAGAGCAAAAGAAGTTTCATTTAGGAAAAAGTTTCCTGATATTGACATACCAGGTAGGTAAATCTTAGGCTGTGAATTTTAGCAATTTATGTGTCCAACTTTATCAAGTTGATAACTGATGAAAATAAGGAATATAGATTTGTTGTCACCTTTCTTGTGCTGACTTCAGCATTCATAGTAGAGTTGGTATGACTCTTATCTGCAGTCTCTTGCTTCTGCAGGATGTCAGTTTCTTTTTGCGACAGGGTTCCTATAAATCAAAGTCATGTTTTAGTGCCTTTTATCCTAATTGTGCCTTAGTAATATTACACACATCTACTCGCCTTCTCGCTTTGACCCGCCCTTGGCAGAGGTTTCCGTGACCTATTCGTGACCCATTTGTTGTGCCCCCCAGACTACGGCACCCGTCCGACGGGCGCCCACCGACTCGGGGACAGCACCTTTATCACCGTGCCCGAGATGATCCCCGAACTGGTGGTGCCCGACCTCACCGACTTCAACGTAAGCAGACGCGCCTACGAGCGAGCGGGTCGGTGGAACGCTCAGCTGGGCATGGGAGGCGTGTGCAACTAGTCTTAGTTATGTCATCTGGTGACAGTCTGGAGATCCAGATGCCTTTTCAGCTTACCAATCTGATAATGGCCTAGTGTCGATTTTACGAAAAACGGTAATGGCCACGGCCGTTGCTCATTGTATTGTAGTTGCCTTTGATATCCCGTCATATCAATTATCATCCAGTACTCCTGTTGAAGGACTATCAGCTCAATAACGCCCTGGTCCCGCCCCGTGACCGTGTTACCGTCCCGGTAGGCCTCTGTGGTGTCTGATGCCGCCCTCCGCTCGCCTGTCCCCCGTCTGACCGGTCCCGCCGGCCCGCAGCTGAAGCCCTACGTCTCCTACCGCTGTCCCGAGGTGGTCCAGGAAGAGTTCACCGCGCGAGACCTCTTCAACGCCGTCTACAGCGACAAGATCACGGCCGACTTCGAGCGCGGCGCGCTGACCGAGGGCGGCCAGCCGCGCGAGCCCAGCGCCGAGGAGTCGCTGACCGCCGAGAGCGCGCGGCAGCGGGCGCGCGGCGTCCACAGCGACATCTGGGAGAAGTGAGACGCGCCGCGCGCAGGGACGGCGGGGGAGGGGGTCTGACGGCGGTCAGTGGTGAGAGCGTTTTATAGCGATTAGTGTGTTTTGATTTTGCAATAATATGTCTATTGTGAAATCAAGTTGTTTTGTTCTGCAGATGATAGAACTCGGAGAATGTGAAGTATGACCATCAAATTTAGTATGAAGTGTTCACTAGGCCTAAAATTTAAATTGTTTATGATATTCAACAGTTCCTAGCTGGATGAGATATCCCAAAATATGAATGTTTTAGAAAAGTAACCGGCGAATCTGCGCTCACCGCTATTAACAATTCACGTCACAGAAACAAGGCTTTAATTGTATCGCCATCGCTGGATACTGGATAGTCAAAAGCCGAAAGGAGCGGGCATTATGTTTCGGAAGGTTCATTTTCTCCTTTTTCTCCTTTTTCACATCGCTGTTGCGTGTCCTGCTCACTTCTAGAGAAGTTAAGATCGTCTTCTACATCGATTTCTTTCGTAAATGACTACATTGATGGTATGTTGACCGATTCTGAAATAAGTCGATGCGCATATAGCGCAAGAATGGCAGTCACCAGCTGCACTCCAGTGCGACTCCGTCGGTAGTTCCTCTTTCCCGCAATAGATGTCGCTCCGTGCGTCCGTCTGCGTGCCGCCGATGGTATATCGCGCTGACTATCAGTCGGCTATGGGAATTATGATGGCCGCCGTGCAGGCGCTGTGGGTTGGGTGTAAGGAGCTGACCGACCCTTTGTCAGACGCTGACGTGTCGCCTCGGCCGGGACATGACCGCCGCGCCGCGGTATTCAGGAGGAAAGGGCAGGCTGCGGGCGTCAGGCCGGTGGACCGACGGGTGTTCGGTCGACAGAACCGCTTAAAACAGCTTGTTAGCGTGGTAAATAATTTGTACAACCGTACAGGACAAAAAGGCCTGGGAGCCGTACGTCAATGTACTACAAAGTGCGGATTAGAACCATCGGAGCGTCCTGTTCTGCGTTTAAACGTTTTTATGGTTTAATTCGGGTGAGTGCTGTCAGCAGTGACATTACCAGAGTGTTACAGATTTGATAGAGGTCTGGCCATTGTGTCTGTCCAGCCCATTCACTATGGTCAGCGCTACTTTGCCCAGCGCTGAACATTGTAGGTGTTATTAGATGTGGGCTGCCTCTCGTTTGACAAAGTAGGTATGCGGAAAAATGTTGGCCAGGTCACTGCACCGGCCCGTTAGTTTGGAAACTTTCGTGAACCCTTATCTTGGTCGTGTCATGCGGTTCAAGTCTCTCTGTACTTTGCCACCCATTCCAGGCTATCACAGGGAAATGCCCAGTGAGAGGTAATTGAGCACATCACGCATAGCCAGTCGATATTTCCGATAGTGTCAGCTCGGCGGGCGCTTCTCAGAGAGGTGGCGGGGGTGCCGACCCACCGGCCCTGACCTGACCCGGCCCGATCTCAGGCTCTCCTGTCATGGCGAATTGGCAGCTTGTCGGACTCCACCGCGGCCGATTCGGCGTCTCTCCCTTCACCAGGGGGGGTCAGTGTCAGCGCCGCACGGACTGACCGCTGGACTCCTCAGGGCGGGGGGGGCTGTCTTTGACCGCTGAGACCTCAACAGGCTATCCTTGAACCACACATGCTATCCAAAGCCGAGTGACGTCACGGGAGAGATGTCACCGCTGCCAAACAGCGCAAACAAGATAACGATAGCAACAGCGAACGGGGATAAGCCGGCTGAGCAGGCTGGACAGCTAACACACGAGAGAGAAACTCCCGGACGGACGATAATGTTCAGCAATCAGCGTGGCTTGTGACGTACTATGGGACGCGCGCTTTGTGGGTTCATGGTGACCGCCTGTTACCGACCAACACATCGGTTAGTTTTTAAG